ACTCCAAAGTCACGAAAAGTTAATATTCGGCAAACTTTTTCACGACTCGCGTGTATCCTACTGACTGTGCCAATTTTAAATTCCCAAACGGAACTTTTATTTTTAAAAATGTTATTAAGGTAAAAATACACTTAAATGGATATTAAAGACAATTTTGGACTAAAGCTACTTCAAATAATAACAATAATGAGGTTTTACTCCTATTTATAAACTAAAAATTATTATTAAGGAAAGATAATTTAATTATAACATAAAAGGGTCTATTATATTCACAATATGTAACTATCGACATACATTTTTTACTCGACCAATTTTATCGTGCTCTCAGAGTATATAAATTTAACCATACTTTGATCATTTAATTTAGTTTTACTGAAGGTAGTTTTTAGCCTTTTTTGGTACGTAAATAAGAAGTAAAGATCGTAGAGGCATGATGCAATTGAAATTTTGTTTTAAGGAAAATATTTTTATAATAATATTAGATAAAATACAAGATGACCTACTTAAAATATCAAAGTTAACCTTATTTCCAATCAAATCAAAGAGATGATCGAATTAATATTTATTATTTGGTACCTATTAGCCTTAAAACCAAGGGAAAAGTATAATATGACCTTTGACCAACAAGAAAAAAATAACAATATTAAAGTTACGGAGGTTAGTCAAAAAGCATGGCGATATGAAGAGTTCAATTCCATTTTTTTAAGGTGGATCATGGCGAAATCGAACAAGAGTAACTTTTTTAGTAAACACTCCAATGTTTCCTATTTTAATGCCAGAAAAGAGTGACAGATAAAAAAATTGTTAAAATGTCCGATGCCCTCCCCCAATGAAACGCTCATGATCGCAATAGAAAAATTGTTCCAGCTGCTTTTAATTGGCCATAAAACACCTAGTATTTGTACCAAGTTTGATCTTTTAAAATTGCTGAATTCTATAAATTAAAGAAATTACTCTTTTAACTCTGTTGACCTCTAGCGACCAAACGAAGAAATTTGGTATACAGTATAATAGGTAAGTTTGGTTAAATCAACTTATTTGAACCTATGAATCTGTGGTAGCTCCATGTACACGCAATTTACGAACACCCTGTATAACAATAGTTAATAGGATTTGTTCCAAAACATTGTTAATAAAAAGTTACATTCAAAAACGAACAATTACTAGACCAGTTTTGTTAAAAATCAAATTGGAAGCATTTACGGTATTATCCACATAGTTGCCAAATTATTATGAGAGAGTTTTGTTGCAAGAATTCTTTATGGCTATAATTCGGAACCGAACATAAGGCCCTAAAACGAACATAAGGCCCTAAAACGAACACAAAGCTTTAAAAATTACATTAAGGAAGTATATTTGCATTCTAAATGTCAGTTTAATGTAGTTTTCTGATTGCTACTATTAATGTAGCTGAAGGTGATTTACAGAAAGTACACTATTTATTTTACAGTGTGGCAACTACGTGAAGTTGATGTCATAGTTGTACAAGCTGGTTCGTTCATAAAAGGCATCCACTGGCGGCTCGTGGGGTGGTTCACAGACAGAGAATATAGGTATCAGTACAGATGTATGAAAAAACTTTCAGTGTTTTAGAAAATTTATAATATACCTTTCTAAAACACTGACAGTTTTTTACCTATATCTGTACCGGGATCTATATTCTGCTACTGTGAACTCCCAAAATTTTGGTCACAAGCCGCCCCTGCTCACATCTCAGATAAACAAACTCGCACAAACCATCTACACTCAATTTTGCAAGTATCTCGTTTTTTCTAATGAAGCAATAACAATTAATTTCTGGGAGACTTTTTTTCCTTAAAAATTCAAATAAATCGAAAACTAATAATAATAGTAATAGGGAACCTTTAGTTAACTGACATTATTTTTGATGTAGTTTTTAATTCTAAAATAAAAAACAGGGTGTTCCATTAAAAATAATATAACTTTGTATATTTTCTCTTATGTGGGACATCCTGTATACATCTAACAAATTTTAAATTGTAGCCGTCTGTAACCTACGTATTCCTCCCAAATGAATTTTTTATATCTTTGGTCGTTTTCCCATAAAGCTCCGTCCCGTTGAGCGTGAGCCACCCTGTATATTATCTTTTTTTTTTAAATACATGAAGAGCAAATAAAAATATAAAGCCATTTATTATTATTTTTACATGGGTATTGTCAGAAATTCTTTTCTACAGGTCGAGAAAAGAATAATTATATTGCGGACTACCTTTTTTTATGAAATAAAAAACTTATTAAAAACAATAAAACAATTTTATTTTAGACACATAAATATACAAATAAGATATCTAAAATATTTTATATTTAATTCAGCATTGACTTAAGCAGTGATCATTTTCTTAAATAAGTTATTTACATAAAAAAGAATCCAATAATTTATATAACATACACAATGGACGATTTTAGTAAGACGGATTTTTGAGATTTTTAATATACCGACACTTAATCTTAATCATATTGATTCAGTTACAAAACAAAACTCATCGCAAGTATACTTTCTTTTTTAATAAATATATATTTTTTAAAAATACGTGACGTATTTACTGATCTGGGGATTTTGTTCGATGATTTAATTTATGTTGGTATAATTCGCTATCATTAGCTCGCTAAAAAGAAATGTATACGAGACCAACCGTTTGTCTACACGTTGTAGCGTCGCTTGTGGTTTGATTTATATTTTGTTGTGAATTTTAATTCTTTAAGTTTATTTTTGTGAAAAATGGAACAAGGTTTTGTGAAAGCAGATTCAAATAATCTACCCCGAGTGGATTATTTTATGATACACGAATATTATATTATATAAGTGCCAAGTACCAAAATGTAAAAAGTCTGATGTTAGTTTTTTTGAAGAAACTACCAATTATAAGTAGGATATTTAAAATCATTAATATATTGTAGGGCTGCTAGATCTTGCTATGGTGATGAAGCTATTGGCTATGGCTAAAGAGAGAAGATGTTGTTGTCGTGAAGGGGCGTATTACTCCTGAACACAGAGTTATGTTAAAACTGTATGAAGTTTCTGTCAAAATAGACACAAAAATCGAAAAAAAAGTAAAATCTATATGAGAACTGCACAGCTTCTCTTGGTAATTGTCATAGTATTAGATTAGAATATCCAAATCTGTTGATTGAACACAATTTTTGAGATTAATATTTCTGCATTTCTAATGTCCGGCTTTCAAGCAATTATTAAAAACTTTAACAACTTTTATTTTAATGAATATCACAATTAACCTAAATTGTAACTCAACAATTCGATTTTAAACGACACATCGGATGTTATCGATTAATTGCTACAGACCATACCAAGTGACCGAGTAGACACTCCATACTGATTATGCCCGTGACGTCAAGAACACGTGGGCCAGCTTCTGGTATGACGACATCAAGCTCGCGAAATTTAAATAAGAGGGTGGTTTTACAGTTAAGGGTTGATGTTAAAAAATAATAAGGTAGTATAAGCGGTAAATCAAGACCTTATACACTCAAATATGAATTAAAAAAAGTGCTAAAATTGTCAATTACAATGTTACCTTTTAGGAAGTGGTGAACCAGATACACTTGGACCTTTAAGAGTACTAGATGATAATAAATATTGTACTTACTTAATAAGTATAGCATTATGTTTGAAGATGTGTCTAACACTTAAATTTTCATAAATATCTGCCATACAAAAATGGTTAGAACATACTAAGGCTTCTTTCATTTTTATAATGTCTTCCTCCACCAAGCATAGATTTTCACTAGGAAACCTGATCAGAAAATATAAAACATTATTTAAATAAACAATGCTAGTGCTAAATGCCTTTACACTGTTAAATAAATTAAGCCTTATTCCCTGTATATGCCTACGTCTATGGTAACATAATCTTACTTATGAAATGACCGGATAATATTCTTTTTCTGCGTATTTCGGCACGCTACACATTTCCTCTCCATCGTAAAAGTCCTTATTAAAAAGTTCAGGGTTTAAATTATTCTTGAAAACTACAAAAAACCTTAAAAAATGACAATAAAACTTGATCTGTCACTTTGACGACATCAGCAAAATGTCTTAGGTTGCCAAATTTAAAAGTTACATACCAGAATGTTTAATATTCCCATATGATACACATAGCTAAATAAAAGTCTTAAGTGATTGTAATTAATAAAAAAAACTCCTATTGATGCTTTTAATTCTTTATTTCCATTTTTAATTAGATTTATTAAAGGAAATAGTAATTTTTTTAATAAAAATTGAATGCTTGATATTTGATGAAAGAGATCTGACAACATATAAAGAGCGTACCGTCAAAAAGCTGCGCATGCCTAAACAGTTAGGATTATGTCTGAAATAAAACTTGACTTTTGACGTTTAAAAAAAAGTAAATTTTGATGTACCTACGCGCATACCCCGAATTTTATAAGAAGCTGTTATCTTAATAAAACTGATTATAAGCATAAGCATGGATTATAAGTATGTTATTAAAATAATCTGAAAAATCAACAAAGTAAACGCGTAGAATAATGGTCGGAAAAGGGAAAATATTTCCAATATATACAGGGTCGGCCACTGAACGTTTTCCAATACCCTCTGCACAAGTCCACGTGAAAACTACAGAGAGTTACAGGGTTATGACGGACAAGTAATGTTATTTTTAACAGACACGTTATTTGTGAACAGGTTGTTATTTCTGTGTGTTTATAAAATAACAGACCTGTTAAAAATAACACAGGTTGTCAATCATAACCCCCTTAGAATTAGAGGGCAGCAGTAAACGAATACTAACAGCGGCCAGACCGCATTGTAACGTTGGCCGGCCAATAAAAACTAAAAGCGCTAATATTATTCGTTTTCGTCTCGCACTAACTCTCTGTAGTTTTCACATGCTGGTGCAAAGTGTATTGGAAATCGTTTGATAGCCGATACTGTTTGTATTTCAAAAATATACAATAGTTGTACTATTTTTTTTTAATTTATGTCAATTTTTATTTACCAGAGACGTGGAATCATGTTCGCACTTGTTAACTAGTATAGATGGATGTGTAACTCAGTTAGGAACCTTATTGACGTGGAGCAATAGTGGAGATCTCTTTGTAAATGAAGATTGTCCCTTACCGGAGTTGATACAAAAATATGGAGAAATCAATCAACATTGTTTCTACGGCAGAAATTTAGGGTTTCAGGTAAGTTATCGGCGTTATAAAATAAATAATCATCATATTATAAAGAATTTTCATTTCATTCATCCGATTATTTTTTAATAATAATAATAATTTATTTCCATTCACAAATATAAATGACATACCTTAGTACATTGTCTAACAATTAACAAAATATTGCTTATTATTTATAAATCTATTGGGACCGCCAAATTATCTATTGCGAGAATCCCAGTGTCAGTGACTGTTTTCGGATCGCTGTTGGAACAGACCAAAGATGTTAAAAAGGGTAGATGTAGCATAGAAAACATTTGCCGCCGTGCTAATTTTGCCAAAACTGAAAAACTGGGTGGAAGGAGTAGGGAGATGTTCTGGGCCGGACTTAAATATTTGTATTGTAGTACCTCATTTTAGTAACTGGTAAAAGATAAAAAATTATGAGAATTTTTTTGACTTTATTTGTTAACACTATTCATTTATGATGAGGGCAATAAAAACACTTTATCAGTATATAGCCGGTAGCCAAGTAAAAGTAGAAGAGCAGAAAGTAGCACTTTGGCAGTTGAGAGTAAAAGTGCTACTTCTATGATCGAGAAATGTAACTAAAAGTGAAATTTAATGTCAATTGGAGAAAAAATGTATTTTTGCTTCACCATGTAGAGGTACGAGTCACTCTGTCTAGATCAACATATTTTAAAAGTAAGCAGCATACAGTGTCGGCAAAGCTGAGCAGTACTCGAATAAATTTTACCTCAAAATTGTACTTAAGTATTCAAAGTACTCAGTTTTTGGTACTAGTTAGTACTTTTATCCATACGAGACTTAGTACTCAAAATATTTCCAGTACTTTACATCTTAGAGTACGTCTAAGTCCTACGGCTGACGTAACGAGTAGCACATATACAGGGTTTCACCTTTTTTTGAAAAAATGTTAGTCCTCAAAAGTTATTATTTCAAAAATAATAATCCAAATAGAAGTTGAATATCTTTGCTTTAGTGAAATAATTTTTTCTAACTTAGAACCTTGTTGATATTCAAAATTTTTTGTTCAACCTAAGTACTTTAAAATTCATTGTTTTTAAAAAGCAAAGTGATATTGAACTTTTGTTTGGATTATTATAAATTTTGAAACAAGTAGAAACTTTTATAGTACCGTATTTATGATCTGATTTGAGTTAAACATTCCCTTAAGTTAAAGAGATTTTTTAATGTAAATGGCAAAAAAGGTAATTCAGAAGATCATTGGATTTTAGCTAAGCACTCGTAGATAGAAAATACTCTGTTTGTTAATTAGTAATTAGAACTTAATAAGCTGTAATTTATTATCGAGTGAATAAGTTTCTGACAATATCTAATGCAACATTAAGTAAAAAAGACATAGCAACCACAAATTCCATATAATTCCGACTTTATGTCAAGTTTATTAAGTGTTATTTTATCTAAGGAGGCTTAAAGAAGGTTTTCAAAGGTTGGAATGGACAACCTAAATTTATATTTCTAAACAAAAATTAAACACACTAATCACTTTTATATTCACGCTAGCTTAAATAAAGGATAAATCAGTAATCTTGGCTTCATAGAACACCTATTTTCTGGCATGGAACGAACATCTCATTTCAAATCGAGATGTAAAAAATGTAATCTGGACGGCTACATCTGGGCTAAACAAACGCAGATGTACATGTAGTAGATGTGTCTGATGTGGATAAAAAAACGCTCGAGATGTAAAAAATGCATCGGATGTGGATTTTTAAACCCGGCAACTAAAGGTCAAAAACTAACGAAACTTTTAAAAGATATATACCTATTGCAACACTAATGACATTAATATTAACGAACTATCAAGACAGAACTATCAGTAGGTATTGAGATTTTTCCGAATTTTAAGGTCAACTTAAAAATACGATAATAATATAGTAGGTATTTTAATGGAGTGAATCTAGTTAGTTGCTATTGCTACTCATTTCTTACTCAGTATAAAAGTCCCATTATAAATTGTCAAAAAACGTACCCAGTCGATAATTAATTACAGCTGGTTTAATTACTAATTAACAAACACAGTATATTTCCTATTAACCAGTTAAAATGTGAAATATTTTCTGAATTATTTTTTTTTGTCATTTAAATTTAAAATATTACAAAGGAAAGTTTAACAACCCATTTATATAGATTAGAAACATAACTGGCCCAAGTACGATACTTTGAGGAACTCTAATTTTTATATACTCTGCTTTACTAATAAATTGTTCGATTTGGACCTGTTTTCGTTTGTTGTATAATTAGGACTTAAATAAATCCAAAATTTAGGAAGAAAATTATTATTGTTTATTGGAAAATTGAATGGTTTGCTAAATTTACTTAAGATCTTCTAACTTAAATATTAATTTAATCCAACAATTCTTACATAATTGGCATATATTATAATTAATTATAATATGTAATTTGTTTTTTTAATAAAATTATTATTGCCATGTTTACATAAAATGGTTTAATTATTAATTTAGGTTGTTATAATTTTTAATATTGATATGAACATTTAATTTTTTATTTGTCCTTGTAAAAAACTTAATTAATTTTTAATTAAGATTTTTTTCTTCCCTTTCAATTAAAAATATGTTTGTTTTTATACTTTTTTTAAACCGTTGAATTCAATGAATTATTTATATATTTAATAATATTTAATTTTTTTTAGTATTGTGATTCTATAAAAAATCTACTACAGTTTATATCTTTATCAATGGCTTTATTTTCGGAAGTATACTACAGCCAAGGTAAGATTCCCATCGCTCAAACTTTTCAATGCTTTACAACCACTTTATTTCCCAAAAGGTTCCCTAATTCAAAAGGCCACCACATCGGCGATGTCATCGGCGAAATTTATCACGGATCCGGAGCACAGGGCTCGAAGGATAGTGAATCTCGGCCAGAACGCCGAGGTGGACTTCTGCAAGGCTTTTTGGTTTTTATCCGAAACAGAACTTATGAACCAGTTGCCTTCTATTGTAGCGCCCAGCGTGGCCATTTCAAAAGTTATACATTTACCTCCTGAGCCTTTGACGGTAATGACAACGGACGGGGAGGAAATAGAAGTTCCAGTGCCTTCTTCTTTTATTGGTGAGCATAAAATTTCCGTTTATTTATTTTCTACTTTTGTATACAAATGATTATGATGGAAAAAATCAATAAAACAAAATATTGATGGATTCAATTACTAAATCAACAGTTAAACATTTATTTACGAAATTCAAGATAGTTAAGAAACTAACACTATATGTGTTTAAACTTATGATAATCGGTGATGACTCATACAAAATGTTTAAATTAACGATAGCAGGGAATTGAACTTATTTATAATTAAAAACTATCTATAAATAAGGATAAGTTAGGTGATAAATATTTATAATTTGTAAATAAAAATTAGATCACTTGGTCATTACAAACCGACCTAATCATAATATAATACTTAAACATTGATTACATATTAAACTGTACTTATAGTCATAATAAATATGAATAGCGATGTTGTAATTACTACAAAATATCTAAAATCGATTGTAGATTAAAATACAAGATTTTTATAACACTTGAACAAATCAATAATGCTTTATGTACTGTGAATCAATTATGAACAATGTTATTAATATTGTTACGCAGGTTTTTTGTATCTCAATTTATTTCAATTCAACTTTTACAATAACGATACAACTGATAACATTAACGCATGTCTATCATAAAACTGACTTCTGACACAGTTTATAGCTAAAGAATCAGTTAGCTCACTCGGACCAATTGAATGTTCCAAAATAACATCCACTCCAGGGATACAAATTCAGGATGCGCAGAAGACTGGTGTTTAAATATAGGCGGTTTTCATTGTAATGGAATATGCTCCAAAGACATGTAAAAACTTTGTACTTTACCAAATTGCACCTGTGCCAATCTCTTTCCTGAGAAAAGTGGTTAAAAAATATTTTATATTCAAAAATCACATAAGGCATGACAGCGCCAATTGTGTTTTCCCTGAAAATTACAATCCTAATTCATTGGTCATCGATCGTCAATCATCGGTCATCAAGGCATCTTCGGCATGCACACACCCTAACTTAGAACGCTCTCCACTTGAATGGAATATTGAAAACAATGTCTATCAATATAAGTTTGAAGAACTGATACACTAATAATATGAATTGATTTTGGCCATTCATTAAAAATCTGTAAAGATACTCTGGTCTACCTAACTTGAATTACAATCGGGTAATTTGCATCGACTATTTTACTACTGTAACGTTTATTTATTTATTTTTACAAACTGTTCTACAGGATATTCTCAATTAATGAACAGGCAAAATATGAAAAAACAAATATCTCAGAAAAATACAATGTAAAAAATTACAAAACAAAAGAATAAAGATTTAAGAAAGAAAAAAACAGACTATTTAAAACGATAAAATATGAAAAAACAATTGTTTTATGTCCAAAATTCTAATGTTAAATATATCTAACTCAGAGTTAATGCTGTTGCAATTATTACACATGACATATAATGAAGATTTGCTTAAAATGTTGGTGCGAGGAGTGGTCAAGTAAAAAGTATCATTGCATCTAGAAGTTTGGCGCGAATCCTATAATTTAACATATGCAACAATTTATTTTGTTGGTTATGACTTTGTGCAGTGTAACCACTGAAAAATACTTGCGCCTTGCTTCAAGACTCGAAAAACTATGTCTTACTAACCGTTCGTTATGTGGGGTGCCAATTGAAGGATACACTTGGTCTTCTCGGAAACTTAAATATTTGAGAAACCGTCTTTGAAGAGCATCTAACCTGGTAACTGGGACTCCATATAAACGAAGCACATTCAAGCTTTGAGCGGATAAACGCATAATAAAGATACTTGAACGTACTTGCATTCTTAAAATCCCGACAGTTCCGAATTATGAATCCGTACATGCGGCTTGCTGCAGTAAATGTACCGTCAATGTGGTCCTTGAAGGACAGTGCTGAATCAAAAGTAACGCCCAAATCCACAAAGTTATTCGGTCTGCATAATAGAGTGTTGCCTATACGGTAATTGTAAGCTATTGGTCAGAGCTTAGTGAATAAGACATGACATTACACATCGAGGGATTCAAATTAGAGTAATTTTCCCGACACCATTCGATAACTCTCAGAAGATTTTCAGATAGCCTTTCACAATCCGCGACGTTCTTAATTGTTATCTAAAATTTAAAGTCGTCGGCGTAAATTAAAAAATCAACATCAACTATATCCACGATGTCATTCACGAAAGTATTAAACAGCAACGGGCCTAGATTTGATCCCTGAGGAACACCGGAGGTGGCAGAATACTGATAAGACTTAAATCCATTTAATTGAACGTATTGTGTTCTGTTGGTGAGATATGATATAAGAAGCCGAATAAGTAAGTCCAAAAGACCAATTAATTTATTTATACTTAAACACTATTTCAGTTATAATATATTGAACAATTAACCTTTACTTGACATTTATATTGAAACTTAACTTAGTACAGCAAAATAATTCACTTATATACAAAAATGTAACAACCTAGAAAAAATCAAATCCTGACTAGAATGCTCGAGGCTAGTCTATAAGTACAGAGAAAATTCCAGTAATGTCTCGATCACGAGGCGGGCGGGCAGCGAAAATGAAAACAGACGTACGGCAGCAGTGAAAGTCAACAAAAAACAGGGTCGGTCTTAGGTACAGTCGCACGACACTACTTTTAGAGTAGAAGTGTCATCAAAAATTAAACATCTAGTTGCTGCTAAAAATGCATGTCCTGATGGTATACCATCATCCTTATTTAAGGTCTAATGTTTCATAAATCGTTTATTAATAGAAAATTTGTCACTGTTTATAAATTTAATAACTTGGTGCCAATTTACTAGAAGGGAGACTATACCGACATAAAAAATATAAAAGCATTTTTATAATCTCTACAATACCTAACTTATTTGAATCCATCCTGACTGATTTGGTATTTGCCACATATAAAAATAACATTTCTCCATGCCAACATCGAAAATGATTAACTGCAAAACCTTGGCTTATTTCTGGAGTACTCGTCTCTCGAAGCTGATTACCAGGTTGATACTATACAGTATGTTAAGTCTCGCACAATGAAGCCAAAAAACGGTATAGAATAAGTGATGATATTGATTAGACAGAGGTAGAACAGTGCGCTCCAGCTCACTAGCGGTAGAAGTGTATACATCTGTCCAATCATGGCAGGTAGTCAGCTGGTTCATAAGAGCCTCTCTTTATTTCTCAAACATGCAAATATAATTAGACGTCTCATCTTTATTTCGAAGGATCCATGGGATAACATATTGTATATACAGACAGACTTGTTTAAAGCTTTTGACAATGTTTGTCATACATCGCTTCTTAAAAAAAATTGGTATTTAGGCTAATTATCTTAATTCATTCAACTCTTATGTAAGTCAGTACCTAGCAAAATTCGGTCTCTATCTAGTGAAGTATCAGTAATCTCTGGTATTCCACAATGATATCATATTACTCCAGTCTTGTTTTTATTTTATTTACTCCTATATTTGTTAATTTGAATGACATAAGTTATGTTTGGATTCCAGGTCGAAAACCAGTGCAAGTTCGTTTAATCAGCCACAAAATCAGAAGCGGAATGCTCGGCACGAAAGGTCAAAGCGGCGAACCGCCTTCCAAAGGTCTAATGATTCATTGTCACGGCGGGGGATTCGTAGCTCAGTCATCTAAATCTCACGACGGTTACCTGAGAGACTGGGCCAAAGAATTGGACATTCCCATCCTTTGCATAGATTACAGTTTAGCCCCAGAAGCCCCGTTTCCTAGAGCATTAGAGGAAATTTTGTACGCCTACTGTTGGGCTAAGAAGCATACCGACTTTCTGGGAACGACAGGTAAAATACTAATTGTTTTGTGTTGAGGCTAAATGTCTTTTACTTTACTGTCAAATATCACATCAACCCATTATTTTTAAAAGTAAAACAAAAGTTTTATCCTAAATTTTAGATTTGAAATATGGCACAGTTGGTAGGATTGTTTCATAATCTGAGAGCCGGTCATATAAAAAGGAAGAGGTAATTATTATAGGCTAAATTAAAAAACAATTGATAGCTTGTTAATTGTTAAACACCAGATTAACACTGCCCTCCTAACCCATAAAGTGATAAAAAAATATATCTTTATACGCTACAATAACTTCAAAAGTATTATTCAAAACCAAGAAATAATATTAAATTTATTCTTTTCGAGCCTATATCTCAAACACTAATCAGCAAATCTTGAAAACGTAATATAAATGAGTAGTTATTTGTTGTCCAACCCCGCCTTCATCTTTTTTTAACTATATTTTGCCTTTGTTTATAAGAAATTCAGCCAAATTATTTAATTTCTCGCATGTACACAACTTGTTTCAATTTTGAAAAGCTTAGATGGACATGTTTTTCCAAAAATGTTCGTCGGACATGTCTGTGGACGGCACACCAATGTTGGTCTGTTGTTTAACAGTTAATATTAACCCAATTTTCAATTCAGCCTAAAATAATTCCCCCTTTCTATTTTATATGGCTGATTTTCAGTCTGTTATTAATTTGTCATGTTTTATGCTTGTTTGAATTTTATATTTTTATTTCCTTTTAGGAGAAGTTATCATCGGAGCCGGAGATTCTGCCGGAGCGAATTTACTATTAAGCACCACCCTAAAATGCATCAAACTGAAAATACCCGTCATGGTAGGCCTATTCGTGGCATACGCTCCCACTCTAGTGCATTATACACCATCTCCGTCGCGTCTATTGTGCATGATGGACTCTTTAATACCGTTCGGATTCCTGATGCGATGTCTTAAAGGTAACACGGTTCGTTCGTTACCATAACCTCACTTTTTTCGTAATTTCCGATTATGTAATTTTAGCTTACGCCGTTCCCGGACCCAACATGAAACAAATCGTTTCGATGGACGTCGACAACTCGGATACGGAAAGTTTCGAAGAGATCTCCGAATCCGATCTGCAAGAACTTCAAGCGCAACGATCGCCCGTGTCGGACAACTCAGATACTTTGACGTACACGTCGCTCAATTCGAACGAGGCTGAGAATACGGCTAATGCCCTTAAAGGTCAGATGACCGAATTTCTAGACCGGTATAATACGGGTTTGTGTTGCTTTTAACATAATTTTAGCTTATATTTTGGTTTTATTGCTAATCATTTGGTGGGTCACTTCACAACTGTCACATTGTTGACAGAACAAATGGCATTGTTGACAAAGTGATGGTAAGTGGTAAATCTGTATTAATATTGACTAAAAACCACGGTAGACTTTGAGGTAAACCAACATCCATTTAAAAACAAAAGAAAATTAATCAGGGTTGCGAGTAAAAATCCGCTAGGTTCGCTAGTAAATTTACGGATTTTACTCGATTTTCGGTTATTCTTACCCAACTTATGGATTGTCATAAATTGACGTTTCCTAACCCAAAATTCACGCAAGATTTGAATTTAGCGCCTTTTACGTGGTAATGTTGCTAAGCAAAAAATCTGATGTGTCCAACACATGACTTTCCTGTCTAGTCTAGCTTTGTCCGGTTTACTTTAAAAAAGTATCTAGATACAAGATACAGACACTTTTGTAAAAGTATCTTAAGATACATTTAGAAAAAGATACTAAACATTAAAAATATCTTATATACGAGATATTTCTAAAAAGTATACTTTCTTCGAAAGTATCTAAGGTAAAAGTATCTACTTCTACTTTTAGAAGTATCTAAGATGGTTTTTGAAAAAGATACTTCTAAAAGTATCTTGGATACTTTTTAGTAGCTAAGATACTAATAAAATATCTGCGACAGCCAATGCTGCAGATGTTCTTTGGAAATTAGGGTTACCAGTGAGATGCCACACCTAGAAAACTTCTTGTTATGTACATATTCTGCATCCTTAAGTTTAATATTTAGAATGCATATTGATTGAAGCATTATTCAGATGGTTCATTGCCGTTTTTCGTGACATAACATAAATTATAGACATTGCTGATGGCATGAGCCTTAATAAAGTTTTGTAGCTAATATACTTATAAAGTATCTTAGATACTTAAAAATAGATGCAAGATGCAGATACTTTTGCATCAAATAAAAAAGTATCTAGACTTTCTAGATTCAAGATACTATCTTGTATAAAAAAAAATAATGAAAAAATCCGGAATCAACATTTTTACTTGGTAAATTTAAACTGAATACAAGAATGAAACTTAATAAACTGTGCTCTTTTTACACAAAGTCTTTATTGGCCTTCAACAGAATTAAATTTTAGAAATTTTCATCCGACAAAGCGTTCCTTTGTGAACTGTTAATAGATGTGGCGATTGAGAACATTCTATCACTAGGAACAGATGAGGGGAGAGGCGTATTAAATTTATAAAAAAGATTTTTAATTATCTCATATATCCTTAACATATTTAAGTGTAATAAACCTGGCCGAGGGTTGATCATAAGGTCACACAGGTAAATTATCCACACAGGATTAATTAAATAAATCAGGATTTACTTTCTTTTATTGTAATAGCAACAGTGGGCTTCACACACAACAACCAATAATCATAATGTCAAAAATGTCATCTGTCATTGTACAGTACCAACTTAAAAATATTAACATTAGGCATTTTATAGAGGTTCTAACATAAGTTTGTTTCGGCATCTTGGAGATATTGCAGGAATTAGAATTCGATAACACTATCGAAATTAATGTCGGATGTTGGCAGCCGCGGATCTATTTTTTTTTTGAGGCGGGGCGGCAAAAACTGAAGAATGCCGCCCCACCCGCCACTGATGGACATAGGCCTCCCCCAAAGAACCCCACAACTGCCGGTATACCGCTGCTCTTTCTCAGTTAAGCCAATATTTTTTCGAAAAATACCAGGATGTGTCGGACTCGGATATATATTTTAATTAGGTTAGGACAGGATAGGGTCTGAATAAAACATGAGGTTAAAATTATTATTATTATTATATTACACATTGAAATTATAATTTTACTCTTCGAGCCTTTTGTTCTGCAAATAAATCTATGGCCTTATCATAATTAATTTGATGAGCAATTTGATTTTCTATTGCTAATATGGCAAGACTTGATAAACGTTCCTGGCTCATCGAAGATCGTAGATAATTTTTGATAAATTTAAGTTTCCTAAAACTTCGCTCGCAGCTTGCGGATGTAGTAGGAAGCGTACAGTAAATTCTTAGAGCAATACAAATATTGAGAAAGGCATCCTGCAAATCATGCGTATAAATCTGTTGCAAGAGATTGAAATCGCTAGCATTTTTTATATCTCCAAATAAAAAAGAATCTTGCTCTTTAAAAACGTAGAGTTCCTGGCGGAATTCAACCACATTTAGATAATAATAATAATAATAATAATACTCTCCCTAATTCACCCCCTTACGAGTGAATTTTAACCCCAAAAGCTGAGCTTGTGCGGGGAAAGGGACGGCTATTATTATTATTATTTGCCGTGGCGCTCGTATTTTTGTCCCAGATCTGCTCCATGCTTTTGCAGTTCTTCATTTGACATATTCAAAATTTCAGTACCATTTAGAAATGCGAAATTCGAATTCAACGCGGTAGCACTATCAACCCTCTGATAAGATTCTGCTTGAGAAAAAAGTTGAACTGGTTGAAGTGTTCGTGATTTGTCATCACACATCTCGTCAAATTGTTTTTTGCATCTGGGAATTCGTTTATTTGGCAGAATAGGTTCGACGCCAATTTTTCCAATAACTTCTTTAGCCTCTTCTATCCAATATTCAATTGAATTTTCTCTCATTTTTTGTAAAGTTTTCAGGCCATCCATTAAAGATATGGAACGCGCAAGGATTATATCTTGCTTTTAAATTTCAATATTCACTCGATTGATTTCGCGGAAAATATTTGCCCAAATCGTCAAGTTCAATATAAATTTAAAATTCTTTATTGCATTTAAGAGACTACCTGCCTCGTACTTTGCTTCCGGAGCATGAGAAGTTTGCCTAAGTTCCTCCAAGGATTCCACCACTTCCGGCATATTATTTAAGAGGGCTTTCACAGCAACATGTTTTGCCAACCATCTCGTCTGACTGCTTCCTTTTAAATTGGTTTTAACAAATTTCTTCTTAGTATCCCATCAAGTAGTAGAGCCGACAAAAAAGCAAAATACTCTTTGAATTAATCCAAATAGATTTATTGCTTTTAGGCATGATGAGGCAGAATGGACACCGACAAGATTTAAGGAGTGAGCCAAACACGGTACGAATTTGACCAGCTCATTCCTTTCTGTAATCCTGGCTTGCACTCCGTTATAGGTGCCAGCTATATTTGATCCATTATCATAAGATTGGCCACGACATTGTCTGATATTTATACCATCAACTGTCAACTTTTCCATTATCTGTTGACAAATGTGCTCTCCTATCTTTCCAGCAACTTCTATAAAGTCAATGAAACTTTTTTATTTCACACACATCACCAGTTTTTTTTTACATAGCGAATGACCTGGCTCATTTGTTCTGTATGTGACACATCTGGAGTGCAATCGAACATTATTGTATAGTATTTGGCTTCTTTGATGTCGTTTAGAATGCTATTTCTTACTGTATTTGCCATTATGTCAATAATTTCATTCAGTATTGTTTTTGACAAATATGATACTTGTCCCTTTTTTAAGTTTTCTAATTAAAACTTAAGAGTTGAATTATGTTTGGAGAGAAGCAAAATTAAATTCAAGAAATTTCCTTGACCAGGCTGAGGACATTGTGTGATGAGATCGCTAGGGGTTTCGTTGGAACCACGAAAAGAAAGACAGTTTGTTGCTAGATATAATACAGCATCCACAACCATATCCAGGATCTGTCTCCATTTTTATTTTTCGGTTTGAGTTACTCACTCAATGTCTTGATCAATACCCTGGCATGATTTAATTTGTTGAACTCGAGTTTGCCACTTAATCATACACTCTTTGTGCATTTGAAATGCCTCGTACTCGGTTAATATCTCATAAGCTTTTTTCCAATTAATAAATCCTGTAGTATACAATGCAGATGTACCGGAAGAGGAAGATTTCTGAAAAACCTTGCAGCATGCACAAAAAATTGCCTTTTTTGTTTTAGAATATACAAGCCAAGATCTTTTAAGCTTTTCGTCATTGGTCAATGTTTTGTACCACATAGCAGATGTTAAATGTCTACCATCGCGTTCAGTTGATTTAAATTCAATGTTTTCTGGATGACTTTCTGTTCATAACACAGCTTGAGTAGTAAAGAAAGATCGTTGCTGGTCGGTCATTTTTTCAATGTCTGGCCAATTGCCCGGGTCTGTCAAATCAATTTCGGTTTTCCATTCATTCGAATCCGAGTGATCCGATTCAGTTTCTTTGTATTCTGTCTCAATTCTTTCAAATTGTTCTTGCACTCTCGCAGTTTGGCTAGACGATGCAGATGATAAATTTTGATCATCAGGATCGTGCCAAGTGCAAGAAATATCCTCTAGTTGAACATCTTCGCAAGCTGTGGCAGGTACTGACGGGCCACCGCCTCCGCTGAGCCACTTTTTCATCTTTTCCGCATATTGTTTTCCCTGAAGGACTAGCTTTAGCCTTTTTTCTATATTCCGCTCCCGGTAGTTTTTTCTTGGCGCGATCATAATTTCAACCTATAAAACATAAATTTGATATGTTGAACACAGTGTGAAAAATATGTATTGGAATGACTTTGTAAACCTCATTCTTTGCAAAACTCAACGATACGCATTTCGTTCCGCAAAATTGCATTCGGTGTACGATTTTCTTTTGAAATTGGGATCAGTCCAGTGAGATGTCACACCTAGAAACCTTCTTGTTTTGCTTGACCATACATCAGCCGTAGTACATACATATTCTACATCCTTAAGTTGTTTAATATTGAGTAGCATATTGATTGAAGCATTATTGAGATGGTTCATTGCCGTTTTTCGTGACCAACATTAATTCCAAAACCTTCAAATAACTGAATGAAGCTGGGATTGTCAATTGTAGACACTGCTGACATTGTTCCAGTAATATAAACAGTAACTTTTTTCAGGAAGTAATAATACAACAGTTTCACATTTAACATTAAAAAATGTCCAGGGACCCCAAAACGTATAAATCCGTCAAAAACTCGAGGTCAAAAAAAAATGATTACTATACTTTCTTCTGTGATTCAAAATTACTTTTTGCGTGAATTTTGGGACATTCTTTAGTTTATTCATCAAAGATTATAGCGTGCTGTGATAATTTGAAGAAGTGTCTAGATATATGGTTATCAAGTATTTAGATGTTGGAAACAAAAAAATGCCGGAAGACATTGTAAACGCTTTCTGTCAGAAGTTGAAGAAATTTGAATATTATTAACGACTATTGAGATGGTGAAGAAGCTTAAGAAAGTAAGAAAGTCTCTGAAGACGAAATTGCAAGAAGTTTGAATGCTGAGAAACGTTGAAGAATCCTCTTATGAAGATTTACCAGAATCAAAAATGTTGGAAAGCCTCTAGATTCTATCAGATGTTGAAAGCGTGCATTAACAACTATTGAGACGCTAGGAAACATTGAAATCCTTCTGTATATGCTAAAAAAGTACTTTTTGTAGGCCAGGTTGGCATAAAATCTTTGGCCTCTTCCAGCTTGCAGGGTTTTCGTAATCGGCTTCCAGTGACTTTTTAAACATTCCTAATTGTTACTAAAAAGTTTCCTTTACATTAGGCCTGCACAACTGAGATTTTCAAAGGGCCAGTTCAAAAAAACCATAGGTGTACGAGGGCCAATTTTAGCGGGGGGGGGGGTGTAGGCAGCAAAGGAATTTCCGCAAGTGCAACGCTCAAATACTTTGATCTTGAGGCTCAAAAAAATTCATTCATAGTGTATTTTCAAAAATTATTTTAAAAAAATAAACATTTATTAAGTTTTTTTTCAAATTTTTACATTAAAGTTTTATTCAGTAAAGTTTTTTTGTGTTTTACCACATATATGATTTGATATCTATTAAGGCAATTAATAAATGCAATTTTGTTACTGAAAAATGTATAGTTTGACGCAGGCGAGCCAAATTGATATAGGGTCAAAGGGCCAAGAAAACGACAAGGTTGCAGGCTTGTTCTACGTCTTCAACCATACCATTGCTAAGAAGTCATCAATAACGTTGGTTGATTAATGTGGAATCAGGGTTTCATTATTTTTTTTTATTTTATAACCTGCTTTAATTAATTCATTTTTTGGTGATATAGTATACAGTGAACAACAAAGAAATTTCCTACAACTCGCGCATAATATTTTTTAAATATTTTCCAGAATCTCAATCCGAAAATGATCATAAAACGACCAGCAGTACTTCTTTAACTACGACAGAATCTCTTCAGAAGAAACTTTCGACGCTGGTAACGAATTTTAGGGAATCTTTCTCGAAATATTTAGGTAAAGTGTATCTTTTTTTAATTTACTTTAAATGGGAACACACACTAATTATTTGTTTACCACTTTAACAATTTGTTGAATGTAGATTTTTAATCACAATAATAGTTTCTACTGTTCAGTTGTAGGAGAAGGAACCGCGTCGGATGCTACGAAATTGCTGGATTTGGACGTAGATCCAAAGAACTCTTTTTTGGATAAGTTTTCTTTCGACGTACCAAAGGACCCCTACTTGAGTCCGTTATTAGCTGACGATGAAGATTTGAAGAATTTCCCGCCTACTAGAGTTTTGGTAAATAGCATTTATTTATATAACATGTTTTGTATATCCAGCATTATTTTTGGCTTTATCAGTCTTTAATTTACTGAGATATTTATGTTTTCATTGTCCTATATTTTTAATGTAAATATGGCAAATGTCATTATTATCGGTCTTCTTATTCTTTTTTTGGGCTATATCTTCTACATAGAACTGAAATAAGGAGAATGTATTTTAGAAAACGTTCCTACAAGGAATAAAATTGAGGTTTTGTTAGTGCAGTAGGTGCCAACAGGTCCGTAATTGAAAAAATTTATGACAATGTTATTTTTCAGAAAAAAATGTTTGTTTCTCTAACCAATTGTTTTTTTGGATATCAAAAGTACATTTAAGTATATATACAATGTGTCCTAAAAAGTTTTATTCAAACGGAAATATATTAGGCCAGTAAACAGATAAAATATGTAACATTAATTCTAACATTTTTGAACTTCGTGATAAGTACCCAATGAAACGAAACTAGCCGATTTTGCAACACAATGCAGGGTTGGCAACATTGTTAAAAAGGCAAAAATCTAAATAAATGGGGTGCTGGACGATCAAAAATGAAACATAGCATTTTAATTTCAATATTTAGGATCTGGAGCTGAATTTTACAACCACGTATGACCTAGATAAAGTAATTAATTTCTGTTAATTAACATTATTTGATCTCATTTGACCAACAAAGTATTAACATATTTGCAAAATCACAGTATACTCCCTCATGAGGGATAATTACAATATTCATAAAAATATAAATACAGTTTTATTCTGATTATAAAATTAAAAAAAAAATACAAGAACTGGGGAAAGGATTTGCAAGATTTTTGATGAATACTTAGTTTATAATTTTTTAATTAAAAAACCGACTTCAAAATTGTGCAGGTGCCCTAAAAAATTGAGATTTTTTATTTTCTCATAGTTCATCAGATCCTGACCAATGGTATGTGGAACAACCTCTGAGGTATCCCCTTTATAACAAAAAAAGAAACATAGAAATCGGACGACGTGATAAAGAATTATCGCTGAAAATAGATCAAAAATTAAGAGTTTGATGATTTTCTCATAGACCCCATCATTAGATGTTAACCAAATTTTAATGGAACCACCCCTGATGTACCCCCTTACTAACAAAAAAGAATCAAAGAAATCGGACAAGGTGGTTAAGAATTTTCGCTAAACATACATAAAAAATGAAGAATTTGAGGATTTTCTCATAGATTAGATTTTGACCAAATTTATAGGGGACCACCCCTGAAGTATCTCCTTTCTAACAAAAAAAGAATCATTGAAATCGGACACCGTGTTAAAGAATTATCGCTCAACAAACAAAAAAAAAATATCGCGACGAATTGAGAACCTTTCCTTTTTTTTTTGAAGTCTGTTAAAAATTTGAAAGAAGGATTTTTTTTTTTTTAATAGGTACTTGGAAGTTTTTGAACATTTCTAGGCATAGCTAATGCCAATCCCTTAAGAAGACAAAATTAAATAAATATTCTTAGAAATGTTTAATTTTGTATATCTAAATGTTCTTCTTCTTTTATTTAAGTATTTGGTAAATGAACTACAAATTAATGTAATTAATTTTTTTCATTTATTCCACTTGTTCCAATGTATTATTTACTTTCGATAATTGGTTTTTTGAAGAATTTCTAACTACAGCTAATTAAAATTCATTACAAAAAGAAGGTGTAACTGGTGGTGTACTACTGACAAGTGATCCGCAAACGCTGAAAAATTTGTTAAACTCCTTGATTTTGGCTCCACGAACAAAGCTATTATGTATTATAATAAAGTTAAGCTAGTAGGTATATGTCATATGATTTAGTTACTGATGTTAAGTTACTCCAGATATAAATCCTTTGTTGTTACAACACAGAACAGTACAATTTGGCATTTTAAAAATATCGACCAATATAATTAACAGCACATGTTTAAAATTTCAGTGATATTTATTTTAAATCAATAAATTAATATTTATTTTAAAATCACTTTCACGAATGGCAACTGACATATGACAGATAGTTATTATATACCGTCAGATAGTGACAGATTTAAGTACCACATTTTCGTATACAAGTCTTGAAGAGGGTTGAAAAGTACATCGATGTTGATAATAATGAAAGAAAATTTACGAGTGGGGCTCAATAGAAATATTTTCCGACCCCATTCGAGTCATTCAAGCCAATATGTTTTTCGGACTAGTGACGATCTACGTTTTCATACATTCGATGGTCTTGTGTGGAAAAATCGGTTAAAATCTCGATTTTTTTCATTACAAGATTACGTCCTTGTTTCAACCATTTAGCCACTTGCAACATTAAAGCCTTTGGTTTTCCGAGGTCTAGTTCTATTAGTTAATTTTTTAGTGAATACAGATTGCGTGAAAATATGGGCAACAAATAATACCTTTAATTTATGTTGAGGAAAATCTAATTTTCTATACGTTATCCCCAGGATCCATTCGTAAATTTCCTTTCATTCTACACAAAATCGATGTACTTTTCAACCCTCTTCGAGGTTGGTATGCAAAATAGGACACCTGAACATGTAACTATCTAAAGGTCTATTACTCAAACTCAGAGAGCGGTAATTGACATAAAATCCATTCTCCTTCTTTCAGTTCTTATTAGTGCCATTTTCGATCAAATGAATTTGGCTATTTAATTTTGTTTTGACATTAAGACTGTGTAGTTAAAAACACTAAAAAAACAATGCAAACTGGAACTTCATTGAAACTTATTACAAATATTTGTTAAAACGAAGTTTTTTGTTATGTTTGAGTGAAAACGACCGGCATATATTTCATTTATGGTAAATTTTTAGAGTGTGCGAATGGATCCTTGCCTTGATGACTGTATAATGTTCGCGAAAAGGCTTAAAAAAGTTGGAAACAACGTGGATGTAGATGTATTAAATGGCCTACCTCATGGTTTTCTAAATTTCTCATTGGTAAGCATTGGTTATTTTATGAATTTATGTAGTCGATTTACTAGATTTTAATGATAATACTAAAAATAAAGCATTGATCTAATATTAGGCATTCCTGGTAGTGGTACATCTAAGGAGTGACGACATATGATGTATTCTATCTACACAACATGTGAAATCATGAATAATGGATTAAATGTAAATATTTTATGGTGAACACAATGAAAATATTATTTAAAAAACTGCTTATACATTTTTCATGAATTGGCAGGCTTGGCGACTACTATTTCGAATAAAAATCTCCTTAGATATACGAGCCCTGTCCACCGGCAATTATTGTTTGACAGGTCGTTGGAATGCCTAATTTTAGATCAGTTTAATGATAATTCAAATTACAAAATTTTAATACAATTTGTAACGTTATTTTAGTTTTCAAGAGAGGCCTATGACGGTTCAAAAGTATGCATCAATCGAATACAGGAGCTGCTAAACCTGGCAACAAAACAATAATATTAGTGAATAATATGTAAACCTAATTTATAACAAAAATTATATAGATCTGTCCAATACAAGAGGAAAAGTATTATTGAGGTTGTATTCTATAAGTGTATTGATGATAATAATTTACATAACTTGTCTATAAAAAGGCGATGTTATTTTTATACAGTACTTAATTGTGGATAAGATTGTTAAAATTGTTTGTTCAATTGGATTATCGCTTATAAATTTGGCCTATGATATACGTGATATATTTAAAAGTGTGAAAATATTGGTAGAATTTTATATAAATAGGTAAAAAACTATGAATAAATTTTTCATGGTTCTTATTTTTTTGAAGTATTTCTATATTTGATTATTTTTAAAGGGCAATGAAAGCTAAACGTGGACTATATGTGTTACATTAAATTGGACAAGTTATAATAGGACCATGCGTGAAATAGAGACCGCTGATCAGCGGGATGGCCTTGCTAACCATACATACGACTTCTATCTCACTTCCACTTATGATCGTCTCTTATTAGATTTGGCTGAAATGGTTCGCGTTTAAATTTCCGTACCTGTATATCATTGAAAATTTATAGGAAATAAAAAAATTCTTTGTTACCAGGAGGGACGTCATTTACTTTGGATTCTTTATTGGGATTAATATTAAGATTTTAAAAATTCTCCACTTCAGTCTCGATTTTATGAGGGACATTTTTGGTTTTGTTTTCTGTTTTATTTTCTTTGGAGCTTGTGTATTATTACAATTGGCAGCTATCATTTGACCTTTTTTTTTTTTAATCAACTGCAAAATGTTAGTTATAGTAATTCAAACGAAATTGTTTCAAAAGGAATCGGCTTCTGCTTCAAAACAAGTTTATTTGTCGAGCAATCTATGTAGGCAACGGGTAGCCTCTTCAGCTTGAGATGGATTACCAAAGCCTCATTTTTTATTAGACATTAATGGCACAGTAATAAAGTGGCATAACATAAAAATGGCGCCCTCTATATGTAGAGCTTTTTAAATGACGGTGTTACTCCAATGCTAAGATGTACAGCTTTAGATATGAAGGATGCAATTTTGGGCCTCTTACGATTAAAAGTTTAAACAAATATTGAGTCATGCCACTTTATTACTGAGTATGCGATATATCCACTAAGCTGAGCAATGGGAAAAAGTTTCAACCGATTAATATTTCGGAATGATATATATATTAATATAAATTATTTATCTAAAAATCTTATATTCCTGTTTTTTTTCTTTGATGTTCACTCTATAATTGAAAAAAACAATGTTTTAACCAAATTTTAAACATGTTCTGCAGTTCGGACAAGTTCTAACCTATATAACTAATGTAGTTTACAGGGTGTTTCAGATTTAAACGGACACAGCTTAATGGAAGGTAGAGTGCACTTATCTGAGTTCAAAACACTTTAATCTTACTCGTTTCTGAGATGTTTTATGATTTTTTGCCAAAACTAAAGTCGGCCATTTTGTTTGAACGGCTAGAGATATTCTGATAAAATTTTGTACAAAAGTTACATTCTCTTAGATTAATCAAAGCCATAGTTTAATTTTTAAACATTCCAGGACTGGTCTCCCTTTTTTTATATTGCTCTTCTTAGCTAGAATATCGCCCTGTATATCGTATTTTAATAAATGTTACTGGACATTTAAATAGTACATGGATCAAAAATTAAAATAATGTAATAATATTTAATGACACCATCATGATTTTCTTACAGTAAATTTTTATAATGGCGACTACAATATTATAAATTGGTATTTACAATATTAAAATCAAATATTTTACTCTGTACCTTTAAAACTCTACACAAATTAGGTACCATTTTAATTTTTTTAAATACTGCATTTTCCAATAAGAAATTGAAGATCTACACAGGACCGGGCTCACTTTATTTGATAAAGTAACAGAACAAACTAACAGAAACAAATAATTCATTGAAACTAAAATGAACACCGTGAACGTCAATGCACCTCTGCGAACGTTTTAACTGGTTTTTTATAGATTTATATATTATTTCCAGTTTATTTTTAATGTTGTTACATACATTATTAATTTTGTCCAATAACTGTGCTCGCTCGGGTATTTATTAATTCGTTGTACACCTAAAAAATAATCCAGAGGTGTTAGATCTGGAGATCTTGGTGATCTATTAACGGGATCGCCTCGACCTATCCATCAATTTGGGACACGTTGATTTAAATGGTCTCTGACCAGTATTAGAAAATGAGGTCCAGCACCATCGTGTTAAAACCACATTCCTCTAGTATAAACCCTTCTAACAAATTTGGCAGGATGTCTAAGGAAATTTAAATAAACTTCAGTTGTTAATCTGACTTCAAAAACATGAGGGTCTATTAAATGATTTTTATAAATAACACACCATACATTTATAGCAAATCTATATTGGTATTGTTTTTGTGATACAGTGTGAGGATTTACAGTTGCCTAAATATGACCATTCTTTGTATTATTGATCCCATCACGTGTAAATAGGGATTCATCATTAAATAAAATTCTCGATATTGTCCTTCTGTGGGCCAAAGTTCATGTACAAAAAGATAAGCGGGGTACGTCGTCTTCGTGTTCAAGTCGCTGTACTTTTTGTACATGAAATGGATGCAAATTTTTTGGTTCGAAATCATCCTTCTGTTAGTGTAAGAATTAGTAATGAATAAGCAGTACCTAGGTACCAGAAACAAATGTATGGAGAACTTGAAAAAAATTAATTTGTATCTATTTTATGTACAAAAAGTAAAAAGTACAGCCAGTTGGACACACATAAAATGTGTGGTGTGGAATTTATAAAAATCGCTTAATACCCGAGCACAGTTATTGGAAAAAATTAATAATGTATGCAACAAAATTAGAAATAAACCGGAAATAATTGACAAATCAGTGAAAAACCTTTTAAAACGTTCGCAGTGATGTGTTGACGTTCACGGTGTTCATTTTGAAAATTTACTTTAGTTTTAATTAATTATTTGTTTATGTTAGTTTGTTCTATTACTTTATTGAATAAAGTAAGAGTAAAGAATCCGATATACAGGGTCATATTTTAGCTAAGAAAAGCAATATAAAAAAAAGAGAGTCCGGTCCTGGAATTTTTTTAAATTATGGCTTTGATTAACCTAAGAGAGTGTAACTTTTGTACAAAATTTTACCAGAATATCTCTAGCCGTTCAAACAAAATGGCCGACTTTAGTTTTGGAAAAAAAATCATGAAACACCACCCAATATATCAGAAACGAGTAAGATTAAAGGCTAAGTATGGAGGTGTTTTGAACTCAGCTAAGTGTACTCTGTCTCCCATTAAGCTGTGTCCGTTTAAATCTGAAACACCCTGTATAATTTCTATTGCAATATCAACTTCTTACAATCTTTCCTTTAATGGCGCCAGACGATCACATACAAATATTTTGATGAACTGATGTAAATATTTGTACTTTGAGTGAGCCTCTTTAGTAGCAGCTTCTCTAAAATGTTCACTGGCAATAGAGAAATAGGTCTGTATAATTTAGATTCACTTGGTAGTTTCCCAGGTTTTAGGATTAAAATTTGACGTTAATGGTTTCTTTTCTTTGTAAATATTAACCATGTTTAAGGATGTTGGGCTTTTTAGGTTTTATTTCGCTTTGAATAAAAAGTTTATTTTCTTCAAATTAATTAATGTCTTTATTATTCTAGTCTACAGATGTAAAAACTTTAAAAAAATGATTCCAAACTGTATTAAGAAATAAATCGCTTTGACAGTTATTTTTAATCGTTATGCCAAACCTTCTTTCAAAAGTTGACAACAAATGTCACCACCATCAGATCTCAATTATCTCTGGTTGGAATTATTTATCTATAAGTTTATTTAATATAATTTACCAATATTTTCATTCGATTATGAGTATCAGCTCTGCTGCTGTAAAGTGATAAAATTGCTGTTGGATATAAATTTAAGAAAAAAAAATATATATACAAGGTATTTTGAAAAAATTGGGTATACATCACCTGTCAAATGTTTGTAATTTGTGTTATTTAAACGGGTTTGTAAGTCTTAAATGTTTTATTTATTATCATTGTTTTATTGATCAAAAGTAACCACATACTGGTATTAAAGTTATTTTTTGGATACAATAAAATTGGGTTAAACTAAAAGCCTTCATAAATACAGTCACCGTTGGTTCAAAAAACGATGAATTTTATGCACTGTAAGTATTGTTGTTAATATCAGTATTGTAATTAAACAAAGCTAAAAAATAATAACAAGCATATACGATTTGAGAACCCAGTGAATTAAATCAATTGTTTAGTATGTATAATAAGGTATATAAACAAAATCATTGAGGCAGTATTTTTATTTAAGTTATTTTGATTTGGTTGTTATTTACTTTTCTATCATATAGGATTATTGGTGTAGCTACCTACTCATTGAGCGTGTGCTCCGACGTTATGAGGCAATTTGGCAGATATTTCAAACTAGTCATAAAAATCTATAATTTATTTTTAAAAATGTTTTTTTTTTGTTTCATAGAATAAAAATCAGAAAGGGTAATTATTGCTGAAGATGATAATTCTTAATTTTATATAATAGTTTTGAGGTGTCTCATTTTTATGGTGAAATAAAAATAATATAATTTTTATTCTAGGGTTGCCAACATAGTTATTTATCAAAATCAACGTCACATAAAATTCATTTAATCTAAATCCCACATTAATTTTATCTTAGTTCTATGTATCAAAAATCGTTCCCGCATATTTTTTTTTTTTTTTAATTCAATTGCACATAATTTTTAATCAAAGTCAATCTCCCACATAAAATTAATTTTATCAAAATCAATTCTACATCAATTTAATTTTATCAGAATCAGTCCCACATTTAAATGAATTTCATCAAAATAAATCGTATATAAAATTATTTTTTATTTAAAACCAATCCCACCAAATTCATATAAAAATTAAGTTTCATCAAAATCAATCCCCATATAAAATTAATTTTATCAACTTTCCCCACATAAAATTAATCTCGTCAAAATCAGTCCCACAAAAAATCATATAAAATTTTTATGTGGGATTTATTTTGATAAAATAAATTTTATATGACATTGATTTTGATAATGGTATGTTGCAGTCAATTTATTTGTAATATACTGAGAATGTTTTTAATATAATGTAGATATATTTTATTACTGTGTTATTTAATATGGTTATTAACTCTCTTTTCTTTTATAACAAAATTAGTTTTTCCAGGCATGTTGGCAACCCTAAATTAATCTCAAATTATACATTTAAAAGTACATATTTTATATTCCGTTATATTTTTTGTAAAATCATCTTTTTAAAATAATTTTTATATTAAACCTTCGTTAGTACGCTAAAAAGTTTATCTATGCTCTCAGTGGACAATTATATAATTTGTATTTTCTTAAAAATATCAAAATATACCTTTATTATTGGCAGATAAATATGAATAATATTGTATTATGGTATTTCTCCATACTAACGACAGGTTAATTTTGATTAAGTTTTAAAAAAATACTATATATTAAAAACTTATAAATATAATTAGGAAGCATGGAATCTGAGAAAAATCCTTATAATAACATAGAAAACCCCCATTATTTTTCTGTGATATTTTGTTATATTTATTGTTTAACTAATATGTTTTTGTTGCATAGTTTAAATTTTGAATTATCTCGAATAATAATTTATTTTGTTAGTGTTTATTCTAATTGTGTATTATAAAAATAAAGTTCTTATGAAATATACTGTTTTATTTTCTAATTCTTATACAGTTAAGACGTATAGGTTGGAATAAATGGATCCAACGCGACAGGTGACGACTTTTTTTTAGCTCTTCAAGTACTTTTTTATCACGTATCAGTCAATTCATTTTTTAATAAATAATTTTAAAGTATAACTTTATTTTTGGACGATCGTGCGCCCCTTGCATTAAGTGCCCTTGACAATCGTCCGGCCCTTCCACCGGATCTGTTCTCATATGAAGATGACCACCTTCAACTAAACAGAGATGACTTGATTTTGTCATTTTAGATAAACATTTTCCTTTTAGCAAAAATCGTACGTAATTATAAGATTTTTTTAAGTAAATGATCCAAAGTTACTTGTCTATTTTGCTAAAAATTTGTCCAAAAATAATTTGTACTGAACAAATCTTTGCGCAATTCCTAAATCTGCCACAAAGTAGTAAAGAGGGTAGAATTATAAGGTACCGTCTGCGCATCCATCACGAGTGTAGAAATAATGCATGATTCAACCTTCCACTCTCGCACACGTAAATGACAAGGAGAGGTTGCCCTAAAGCATTATAAAAATATTCCAGGCTTGGTTTTGTTCAACGATTATGTTCATGTTCAGCTCTGTTTTTAAGCTTTTATCGCGGGTTTTGAGCGCGGCGACCGAATCAAGAAATTCCGTAACGAAAATAAACCTAACACTCCCCACTCCGACCGCCACAGCGGTGCGGCGTTGAAAGCCGTGGAAGGTTTTATCCAACCCTATTCGTATTAGTATGAAGCGGAGTTAAATATACGTCTGATATCACAAATGTTCCCGACTGGCGTAAATATTAGATATTAATTTTTTTTGTAAGATTTGTGTTAACTATTTCATTATTAAGCTATATTGCGTAGATTTTATCGCGGGCTTTGAGCGCGGCGACCGAATCAAGAAATTTCGTAACGAAAATAAACCTAAAGGTACGTTTACATCTGACACTTCTTTCATGACATAAATATCGAGTATCGGACACAAAATCTCACTGACTGTTTACATCTTGACAGAACTTACTTGATATTATTGTCACTGACATATGTAGCGAGATAACTAACTGCTTGGGAGAAATAAATATATAAATCGTTTACACTAGTTCTGCCACATATTTCATGATGAAAGTTGCAACTAGTGTGGTTATTTTAAAAATACTCAACCGCAAAATTAACTGGACATTGGAATTTCGTCCCGCAATTTTTTTTCCTCTTTTTCTAACTTTTTAAACAACGATGGTTTTTAAAGGTATGAAATAAAATTTTTGTTTATTTCGTAAAAAAAATTGTAATCAAACATTTTTCTTTGAAATTATTTTGATTTAAATTTTTGTTTTTGATATTTTTCTGTTAATTTTGCAGTTGAGTATTCGCTCCGTGCGCGACAGCAGCGCCAATTTGTTTTGGCATTAAAGGACTATTTCTGCCTATACTGACAAATACAATTTTTAATAGAATTCGTAAATAAAAAGTATATATGTTAGTTTTAATAAAAGTATATGGATTTGTAGAACAAGTAAAACATTAATTTATTATTATTATATATTTTTCCCGCTTAAATTAAAGAAAATTATATATAATCAATAAAAATCAATAATAAAATATAGGCAGGCAACAGTATTTACTGGAAAATGTATGAGAAGTTGCCTAAGTCTAATAAGTTGTCATTGAAGAATTAGCCTATTCCACGGAATACCATTTAATAATAGTGTGAAGTTAAAATGTATAAAAAAGGATCGTTATTTATATTTTCATTTTTGTTCGAAAGAAAACATAGAATGAATGATTAAAACTGGTTTCCCATCAGTCACAAAATTGCATTCCAGCCGCAAATTATAATCAAAGGCAGAAATCTTGAAATCTAGTGCTTGTTTAATGAACATTTAAGAATAAAGGGATATTAAAGAACTTCGTAAAATGATAATTTATTGTTTATTTAAAACCTTTCAAGTTTCTGATGTCTACTATTTCCAGCATTACTGTTATTATCACAAAAATGAAGGTAATTTTTCATCTTATTGTACACCTATCCGTTTATTTCTTTGATTTAATTTCCACTTTGCTAGTGAAATTTTTTATATAAGTTTCACTGTTTTTTTTTGCTGGTATTTGTACAATTTTCAACACAGCAACTCCGGTTGCTTATTGTGTTGTTTTTACCTACTTTTTTGAAAAAAAAGTAAAATGTATACGTGTATTTGATATGCGAAAATTACAAAATATCGCCCTAAAATGCACGAATTATCCGCAGCTAGCGCTAGTATCGCTTTTGCTTCCCTTTCCATGACTTCGCACGGAGCGAATAAAATCAGACAACAAACAGAAAGAAGAAAAAACGTTTTGTATGGGTTTGGGATTGGATTTTTGAACGTTAAGGACGTGGTACAAACAGCTAATGAGTGAGCTCACTGTCGAAGATCCAGAAGGACCAATAGTGAATTTATAATAATTATGTAGTAGGGTAACATGTGTTTTTTTTTCCAACTGAAATATTCATCAATATTTTGTAAATAATTACTAAATTTTATATCTGCTCGATTGTAAAGTATACAAATGCATTGCTTCTTGTTCGACCCTTCTGACAGCTTCTTTACCAATTTAGCCATTCCATAATTCAAGATCGTTGGCATAAATTATTATTAATTCTGCAACATCCCTTTTTATGCAAGACATATTACCCGACACTATAATAACAAAAGTAGACGTCTATTCAACTTTCACAATTTCTGTCAGAGAGATCGGAACTTATTGCTAATAAGTGTTTGCATTAGTTGTAAAATAAGTGTCGATACATATTGTCGAACACTCATATACATATATCTCTGACAGAAATTTTTGTGTATTTACACTGGACTAAACAACTGTCATACATAAATCTCATGCAATAAATGTCAGATGTAAACGTACCTTAACACGCCCCACTCCGACCGGCACAGCGCTCAGCGTTGAAAGCCGTGCATCGTCTAACGTCGTTTCAGTTCGGCAGACTTCGGCACGGTGTTTGTGTGCGTGCGACTAGACGTATGCGTGTAGACTAGCTGCTAACTGCTCATAACTGATTCTATCTCTTTTAGACACAATTTCGGAAAAATTGAATTAGAAAATGAATAATGATCCACAAGAATCCACAACAAAATATGGGACCACTTGAATCATATTACAAACAGCTTTTATTTGAACAATTTTTATAAAAAAATACTTTTTTTTATTTTGTCAAATTTCTCGAATACGGACCATTTTAGGAAAATTTTGTATAGAACAAAAATTATAGATAATAATATTAGAAGTAACTTTTATTTGAAGAATTTTATTCTCCAAACGTAAATAACAGATATATTCCATAAAATATCAAAATGACCACCTATAAAGTACCCCCCAGATGTTCCGACTCTGCCCAAAAACTAGTCATTTCATTGGACGACGGAATAAAGCTAAAGTTTATAGAGAAAGTAAAAGTTGAAAAGTCTTTTGGTAGGTAGAGAGGGGGTAAACGTCAAACCACGTCGGGCGGCTCCGAGAATTTCACAGTAATGTTTACCTGCCAGTGTCGTTTCATAGAATAAGTAATTTTAAATTGTTATCTGCGGAACCGGACAATCGCATGTATTTATGGATTATAAATAATTATTAAACATGTATTATAATATTCAAATTATAATTTTACAAAATTTCAACAGCTATTCACAATTTATTAAGTTATTTACTCGAAATTGTTATTAACATCTATAAAATAATTTTGTACGCCAATGTATCGCGTCCACTTCGGGGAGATCCGCTGCCAACCTGTCAATTTATGTGTATAAAGTGGGAGAACTGGCAAAAGCATTTCCAACTTTTACTTCTGTTCTACAATTTGGTGTTTTTCTGTGTATCGGTTCATGAGTTATGGTGGATACAGACACACACACAGAGACATCATCATCAATTCTTTGTTATCTTGCTTATATTTGTTATGTTTTGCGCTTTGAGTTCAATTTAGTAATAAATTATACTTGTTAATTATTTTCCGATGCACTATTTTATAATTGTTGCTCCCCACCTCTTCACTTCATTGATCCGCCACTGTCCCTAGAATGGAATAACTTACTATGAATACCACTTTTGTGTAAAATTAATGGAATTCCTCCTAATAGACATGTAAGCCTTTTCGATTTGTTATCCCTGAATAATACCTAATAATTTATTGAACTTCTACAACGCTAAAATATGCCTACGTCATGTGTTGCCAAAAGTCAAAAAATTTGAATTGTCACAACAAGAAAAGTTCTTTTAGAATGTTTTAAAAACCCTCTGATTGAATTATAGGATGAAAACATACTTGCCTTTTCGTGTTCACTTACACATAATTTTAATCTCTTTTAATAGAATATTCATATCTTAGAAACTTTAAGTAAAATGTTTGTTAAGGATCCCTGTGGTGTAGTTTGCATTCTCATAACTTACATGGCTGTTTTCTATGCTGATTATGTTATTATAAAATGGGTCGTTCTTCAGACAATGCTAGACAGGTAAATATTGACTTATAATTGGAAGAGTTTTATCGTTGAAACTTGTAATTCATAATTTTCTAATATATAACTAATCTTAATTAGGACACATTTAAAGGAAATGTCTGTTTTTCAGCTTATGGGGTACATTTAACGTGGTTATGTTTAATACAATAATTTTCTTGTTAATAATATCACATATCAAAGCAGTTGTGACTGACCCAGGTACTGTTCCCCTTCTGCAAATGGAGGTAGATTTTTCAAATATGGTTTCTTCAGATTCTCGTAAGTAACCAGTAATTAATTGGAGATTCTAAAAATTAGCCCTATCTTAAGGATGTTCTTTCTCCTACTTTAGGTTGTGAATTTGTCAATTGGACAGTATGTTTAAGATGTGAAACTTATAGACCACCAAGGGCACACCACTGTAGAATTTGTCAAAGGTGCATTAGAAGGATGGATCATCATTGTCCATGGATTAACAATTGTGTGGGAGAGAGAAATCAAAAGTTTTTTATTCAGTTTTTAGTGTATGTAGGTAAGTCCTAATAACAAGGAATATTTTATTAATATTCTTTATTAAGCAGTTTAAAAACATTAATCAAAACTACAATACAAAATCACTATCATTTTAACTGTGTTAAAGGTCTACCCAAATTTGAAATTAATCTCAATTTTATCTATTTATTAATTTAACAAATATATCATTTTACAAAAAATGCATGAGAATGTTAAAAGAGAAAATATAGATATCAAACAGCATTAGATATTACAATAATTAATAAAAAAAAACAATAAAATAATAGAATATAATATAATAGAAGCTTAAATTAAAAAAAAAAGCAAATACATCATGTAAGTTTACTTAAAAATGTAAGTTTCTAATTTAGTGCTTAAACAATATTAAAGATGAGTCAAATATTTTAATGTTTTGCAACCCTGAGTATTTTTGTAAGTTTCATTTTGTACATAGTCGGTAGAGTGGTATGAAATTCACTAGCCTCGACAAATCAGGACAGCAAATTGTACCACTCAGTAACTTGCGAAAAAAGCAGACAGATAATTTTGTTCTGTGATGCTTAAGAGAATTCAAACTATGCCTTGTGGACATCTGAAGTTGCCAATATTGCTGATGATATGGAGCCAGCATATCTTACATACTAAAATAGAAATAGAATGTATTCATCTTTGAGAATTATACACTATACAAAGACACTAGGTACATAATGTAAAATCCTATCAGACTAGTCAAAAAAGTGTTAATGTAAAATACATTAAAAAATAAAATATATATAATAGACAATTCATGTTAAAATTAGTTTAAAAGTTCAAAAAATCTTCTATACTATAAAATACATTATTTACAAGAAAATCATTAAGATGTTTTCTTAAATCATTAGGACTAATTTGATGATAATGATATTGATTTGATGATATCTTCTAATATGTTACTGAACTTATTGTAACACTTAATCCCAATATATTTGTAGTCGTGTAAATTTTAATCTAGTATCATATGATTGCAGGTCTTTATTTTTCTTAAATATATGCTCATTATCTTTTATGTATAAAATTAGTTGAAAAATAAAAAGGGAAGGTAGTGTTAAAATTTGCATTTTCTTGAAAAGTTATTTACATGATGGTGTTGGTGTCACCTTATACATGGCTCTCAGAACCTTCTTTTGAGATGCAAATGTTCTTTCAAAGTATGGTGAAGAACCCCAAAATATTAACCCATATTGTAGAGTTGAATGAGCCAAACCAAAATAGCATAGTTTTAAAGTATCAAAAGATAGTGTCTCCCTTAAATTTTTGTTGATATAACAAGTACTTAATTTTGAAGTTACCAGCTCGAGAGATAAAATAGTGTCAGAAATTGGTCGAGAGATAAAATATTGTTTAAAATTGTTGTGTTCGTATTGTCTATAAACCTTTTTTTTGCTCTTTATTGACCACACTTCACAATTAGAAAATCTGATAATTTTATAGAATCTAGTACATTTTTATGTAATCTGGTACATTTTTTAGACAAATCTGGTACATTACAAAAATATATTCTGGCAAACACTGGTTAGGATCACTTAAATCTCGTTTATATCTGTATTTAAATTCGTTATTTTCAAAATTAGGTAGTTTAATCGAACATAATAAGTAGTTATGATCAGACAAAAAAAAAAGTATCATATACACCCACCTTATCTACATCAAAATTGGTAAAAAATTATCTAAACAAGTTGAGGTTGTACTTGTTGTTCTCGTTGCAACATTTATATGTTTAATATTAAATTCCTTCAATAAGTCAAAACAGTTTTTTGATTACCTTCATTCAAAAAATCTACGTTAATATCACCACAGATAAAATAGTGATTGTCGTTTTGATAAATATTATGAATTAATAGCTCTAGCTGATTTATAAAAGTGCTAAACTTAGTACAAGGTGGCTTATACACAGTAATAATAAATAAAAAAAGTTTAGAATCGATCTTTATTTTTCCACCACATACTTCAAATTCACCTTCTATACACCACCTATGTAAATTAATTGATTCAAAATTTGCAGCAATACTTGTTTTCATAAATATACTAGCACTACCTTTTTCTTTAATTATCCGTGAAAAATATGATACTAGCTTAAAATCGTCAATTAAGATAGCTTGTAAATTGTTAGAATCAAGCCAATGTTCAGTAACACATAGAATACTTACATTTTGTTTCTGTAAAATTAAATTTAGATCAAAGCATTTATTGGCAAAACCTCCCTGTATATTGATATGCATTAAAGTAATATTTAACTGTTGGGAACTGCAAAATAGTAATTATTTTCTTTCAAAAAGTGGTTTTCCATAGTAGTCCTTGAGGTTCCTATTTTATCAGGTTTGAAAAATTTTCTTCACTCTTATGCGATCTCTGGTTTTGTGAATCTTCAAGAAATCGCTGACCTTGTTTAGAGTTGAATCGGGAGAAAATTATATTTTTCGGCCAAAAATCTGATTTATATACTTGCTCCTGAAAATGAGGATCTATTCTCATTAGAAAAGCTTGGTTATTCTGTCTTACAAAATATGTGTCTAGTTTCTTCACATAAATGTATTCTGCGTTTGTGCGTTTATGAATGTATTTCTTAACATTCTCTTCATTTACAGTTTCTGATACTCTAGATACAAAGAGCCAAATTTTTTTGTTTGATTTTTCCCTTCCTTTAAATTCATCATCACCTTCCCAACTTCCCATAATTGTTTTATTTTTTCTCCTTTGCCGTCTTGTTACTGTGATATAATTATTCTCATGACTTCCCTCATTGGTATCATCTGCTAGATTTATTACTTCATTAGTTCTAATGTATTCCTATAATCGCTTGTGTTTTTGTTTGGTATTAAATGTTTATTTCCAACAGGTATACTCACACTTTCAGTGTTTGTTTGTTTTGGTTTTTCTATAAAAACTGGTCTTTTATTATAATCTATAATATTTCGTTTTTTCATTTTTAAGTTCAACTTTTAAGATTTCTATTTTTTCACTCATTAATTGGTTTGCTAGTTTTTATTCTTCTACTAGTAATTTTAAAAAGTTGCAAGCATCAATGCAAAATACATCACCTTTACTTTTTTCTTGATCCATAGTTTTAGATTTTTCAATAATTTTTGGTTTACAGCATCTTATGATAGCATTTTCTCTTTGTGCACACGATGGATGATATTTCAAGTCACAGATTTCACATTTTACACTAGCAGTTACTGATTTTTTACAATAACTACACTCATCGGTATTTTGCGCGTGCAGTTCATTGGGCGCTATCTTGACAATTACTTCCTTTAAGGTAACTTCTAAGCCATGGAAGCATCGGGCTGGATATTCTTAAGGAATTAAGTTTTGCTAACAGGACTACATGGGTAACACGATCAAACGCTTTGATAAAATCGGTATATATTGCTTCAACCTGTATTCATGAAAAGTGGAGCATGCTGTATATTTTCTGATCAACGTTCAATATTAATGAGAAAAAGCTTGGCTTAGCAGGATCACTTATTGTGTATCGATATCTGGAGTCAAGACAGGTCCAGCATAGTTAGTAGTTGGATGGATAACAATTTCAATGAAAGTCGGCATATGTCCAAACAAACTGCTCGCTTAGTCGCATACCACAGCGGGCAGGCATTATATCAATGAGTATGAGGGATACTGTGGGGTGTGCCATCTTTTCGGTAAAGCCGTCGATCCCGAGTACATGGATGTTAGGCTCGTTAAATATCCCTGCCTCTCGTTGTAACACCAGGGGATTCAGCTAAATTTCTGGTAATAATAAAAATATTCTTTTTAGGAGTTTTGTCAGTATATTCAGCTACTTTAGTGGCAGTATCTTGGATAAAAGAATGTAAAGAATGCAGTAATGATATTCCTTTAAAAGAAACAAGGATGTAAGTAGTACCCAGTCTCCAAATTATCTTGTACACGGTGTTTCATATTTGTATCGGCATTAAGTATTATAATAATGTTGCACTGATAATATCCTGAAACAGCATAGTTCTGGTAAGTGCATCAGTAATTGACATTATTAGATACTGATAATGTCGTTTGTACCATGCCAAAACTACGAATGTGTAAGTTTGATATTTTTCTCCTAAGTGCTTCAACAGACATGTTTCCTTAAAAGTAATCAATACCAAAGTGACGAATGTGCCTCGAGAGTCTAACCCCACCCCTCTATGCTCGATGTCTATTTTGAGAAAGTAAGAATTTAGCAGTTTTATTGTAAACTGAATATTAAAAAAATATTTTTTTTGCACCTTCATGGTTTTGACATTGTACCGACGACGTACTAAATAATTTTTTAATCATATAATACATTTGTTGTATTATAGACTTTCAAACAACTTGCTTAACTTTAAAAAAACGTCTAAAATAATTTTTGTACAATGGTTGGTTTTCAAAAATTTTTTTGTTTTTTCTTATGTTTTATTTTTTACGTTATTTCTCCGCAATAGGTTAAGTTAGAAATCAACGTAAATGAACACTTTCATCTTCCTTCATTTATATTTTTACACTTATACATTGTAAGTTGATATATAAAGACGATTTATTATAATTAATGAAACACCTGTGCATAATTTTGAAGTACAGGCAAAGATAAAACTATTTTTTTTAACCACAGATTGCACTCAATAGTACTCCTACTAGAAAGTGCTTTATTCGGGCTCTTCGTCGCAGCTATACTCATCGATCAACTGCAGGCGATTTTTACTGACGAAACTGCTGTGGAGCGAGTCCAAAAGCAGGAGCTTCCTAAGGATTACAAACCAAAAATGATGTTGCTTAGTGAAGTTTGTGGTAAAGAACACCCGGTGTTCTGGTTGTTTCCCTGTTCCTCGGTGCCAAAGAAAATCGACGCCTCACTCATGGATTATCAAATTTAAGGAGTTTTTGATGTATACCTATATATTTGGATTGTATTGAGTGGGATAAAATGTCGGTTATTTTAGATATTAGGATTTATTATAAAGAAGTCTTGCTTAAGGAATTTTATATTTTTTGCTGTTTTTTATTTATGTTCAATATGACCAATATTCAATATTTTCTAAATGTAAGTATGTACCTATTAGGACATCTTATTTTGACTTGATACAATCCAATTTATATCACTAAATTATTTTCATACTCTTTTATACATTTTGTATATTTAGGCTTTTTGATACCTGCTCTAAAAACTTTACTCAGGTATTTCATCACATACAGGAATTGTTTAAGACATTTTAACGTTTAGACTGATCATATTTATTTCAATGTCTTCAAATTTGGACAGGTATGTCAAAAGAAAGTTTTAAAGTGATTTAAAAGGCTAATACTAAAGGGTACCCAAAATTTCCAACAATTTGCTTGGGAGAACATAAACGCATTATTTAGATAATTTTTTGAGTTTAAAAAATATATTTCATGACGAACTAGAGACCTATTTCTTAAATTAGTCTAAATACTTTCAAAAGAAAGTTACTGAATAAATTATGGCCATTATAGGAAGACAGCAGTTAGTGGATAAGATGCAATTGTGAATTGTATTACTACTTTCAAGAACTACGTCACCCAAATAATCATATAATTTAGTGAACCTCAGAAAAGTGATGCACTCATAAAAACGATAGGGTTCATATTCTTCAGTCTTGCTTCCCCCTTTCTCATGGGAATTTGACAATTTGTATAAAAAATATTTAGACTCTATAACCCCTAAATCCTGCCCATATAAAAATATTTGGGTCCTTTACCTTTTAAGTGTGTCCATGTAAAAATATTGGCCCCTTACCGATTAAGCCTGAACATCTAAAAATATCTGGTCCTTTTACTCCTTGCACCTACCTGTGAAATATTTGGCTCATTTCTACCCTAAACCAATTTACCACTTACGTGTGTCTATGTAGAAATATTTGAGTCATTTGCCACCTAAGCCTACCCATCCAAAAATATTTGGACCCTTTATTCCGTAAGTATACCATGTAAAAATAATATTTGGGCCCTTTACCTATTTGATCCAAATAGCAATTTCAGATCCGAGTTATGTTCTGGAGTTGCTACAACTCGTGCAAAAATCAATACTTCACCATCCTGTCTGTTTTTCTCTTAAGATCCACATTAATTTCTTCTTGAAACAATGTAAAACAATTATTTTCGTTTACAATAAATAGCAATTCAAATAAAATCCTTTTAAAGACGTTTGACAGTTGACAACTATGGCTATCAAGTTATATGAGTATCCGGGTCGCGGTGCATAAAATAGGCATTACATTTTAAAACAAAGATATTTAAAGAACCAAAGTTAAACCAAACATTCTGAATCCTATATATTTTAGTGGAACCACGACCTCTTTATCTCTATAGAAAGGAAGAACGTGGAACTAGAGAATACGGGCCCATATGGCAAAATAACGGTTGATGACAGCATACCGCTGCTGCTTGATGGGGAATACTCAGACTTTTGAGAAATGTTGGGTACTCTTATATATTTTTTAGAAAATTTAAATATAAAAAGCGTATAATTTTGCCAAAAATAAATATCACATAAATAGTATTAATATACTTTCCTAATTTTTCAATAGCCCAGTAGTTTAATAAAAAAAAAAAAGGAGGAAAACTGAAGAATGATCTCAAATGAGTACTTCTTAATATTTATATTTGCGATAAAGAAAACACAATTATTTTGTGTAACTATATTATTTAGGCTTATATGTTTAACGTATATTTTCAATTGGTAAGCTTTAAAGAGCCTGTTAAACTTAAATATTCCTTATTTTTATTTATTTTATTATATTAAGGCGAGTGGTAACAGGAATTAGGAAAACGCCATTTTGAGCCTTAACGTCTCCTAGAGAAAATGTAGGTGTCACCGATAAATGGGTACAAAATATTATTCTTTCGTATAACGATCCTTATGTTGTTTTTTTTTTTTTAATTGTGAACTTTTTAAAATGATATTTTGCAATATTTTAACAATTTAGTTTAAATTTAAATATGGTTTGTCCGTTTGATTTCATACCTGCTTTGAAAATGTGTAAAATGTTTTTAAGTAGCCATTCTAAACCTCGCAATTAAAATATTTATGTAAATTGTGAATTACTTCATCTCCAATACGAAATAAACTGCAATTAGATTAGACACTTAGAGAAAACGCATTTTTAAACCAGGTATGACATTTTTATGAAGCAACAGCATATTGTAAAAATGTTTCTACCTAAGTTTGTAAGTTATTTAATGAATATATGACGCACAGTAGCTTCACAAAAGTAAACAAAAATATATTATTTTCTTTCAAAAAGTGTGATTTTAATGTCTTAAGTCTTCAATTGTTATATATTTGTATATAATTTTAATATTTATTGAAACAAAATATATTTAACTTTACTGACAGTTTCATTTAAAATCCTACCTCTTCAAACTTAGGCGAGCTTCCACAAACTTAGGCGAACTAACATCTCAGTGATCTTAAACGATCCCCTATGAAAATTAATGAGCTTTTACCAACGTTCTACACATCTTTTTAAGCTCATACTAATTCGCTAGAGCAAGCGCGAACCTCCACAAACCAGGACGAACATGAATGAAATAGACACACCTTGACGAGCATCCACGAACTTAGGCAAGCATCCACAAACTAACATCCCTTTTATCTTAAATAATCCTTTATAAAAATCAACGAGCTCGTATCAAATATTTTAACCAACCATTTAAGTGGTTTTTTTGGATAAAATATTGCAATTTGGGTCTGAAATGGCGAAAAATCTTGTTTTTTATTTTTCTTGAAAATGGTTACTTAAAAAAAAGGACTTAAATTTTATTAGATAAAACCCCTTTTTAAAAGGTTAGTAGAACACCATGTATATGTAGTATACTACACTCTTTTCAGCTCACAATACGATAATCTTCATGAACCTTGAATCTCCATGAACTTCGACGAGCCTCCACGAACTTAGTCGAGCCTCAATGTACTTAAGGGAAATTAAATTTCAATAATCTTGACATGAGCGAGCCTGTATGATGGTGGGTGAGGTTTTCCTCACCTGTAAGTCAAATGGCACCATCAATCATCTTTAAGTCGCCCCGGAGCGCCACGACAAATAATAATAATGGCCGTCTCTTCCCCTACACAAGTCGTTCAGTCGACTTCAGGGGTTTAAATTCACTCGTAAGGGGGTGAATTAGGGAGAGTATTATTATTAACGAATTTGTACCAACTTGTGTACAGGGTGATTACAAAGTTAATACTGTGTATAGAAATCATTAAAATACACAATTTAAAAAAAAATCACAAGAATTTAGGTTGCTGATAACAAAATTTTGAAAGCTGAAGCTATTGGGGATATTGAAGTAAATTTCATAGATGTAGAAGGCCAATGGAAAACGAAAATAAACAAAATGTTTTATTTCTAATCTGAAAAGAAATTTCTATCAGTTGAATAACAGTTATCGTCGGTTCCATGTCAAAACCGCGTATGTGTATTTCATTAATTTTTCAGAACAGCGTAATAAAAGTGAAAGTCCATATATGAAACAAAAACCACTTATTTTTTGAAAAAATATAAAAATTGACAAACTACATACTATAGTTGTTTATTTATTTTAAATTAATTTAAACCATCGATTTCAATTCTTTTAATTTTATAATATCTGCGACATCTGTCTTCTAAATCTTCGTCACAGAAATAAGGTGGACTGTGGTAACTGTAGCGTGTAGAAATGTGTAATTCTTGTTGAGGAATTACCAGACACTTATTTGATAATGATGAAATTAAAATATTTTCTTCAGTTAACAATTATATTAACACAGTATAATTGCAGAGAAATCGTATTTGTACTTGCGCCTGTGCTCCTGTGTTTAACGATCTATTTTAACTATATTTATGTTAGTGAAACAGATTTGCGAGTGTGAAACAGTTAGCCTCGTACTTAAATTACTGGAAAGAACACCATATTTTAGGAGCTCAAAATGCTGGTAAATAAGTTTTCTCGGAATTCTAAAAACCGTTAAATTGCATTTGTGTTGTGAGGGTCGGCTTTACGATTTGTAAAAAAAAAATAAAATGTATTATGTTTATTATATATTATACGGAAAATGTACTGAATGAATAATAAAATGTATTGTTATGTTTATTATATATTATACGGGGTGGATTATAAAGAGATTAACTGAAATAATTGTGAAAAAATGCTCGTCATTTTTGAACAATAAATATTACACAAATCAAAAAGACGCACACGACATATTTGACAGATTACACGGAAAGTATAGTAGTTTGTGCAACAAGAGTGGATGTGATGGCCATATCGCACGAAGACGAAATTTAAGCACGACGCCTTAGACGGAGTGCGATGTGGACAATCCACTCGAGTTGTACTGTATATTTTTTCTACGACCCACCAACGAAAATGTACAAATAAAAAAAATATTTTAGGTTATTTAGGACCGATTCCATCGTTGTGTTAAACGGAGTTTAAAATGACATTTTTACATTAACAATGTCATTTTAATATCCGTTTAACACAACGGTGGAATCGGTCCTAAGACAAAATAACTAATTTTAAAATAATTTATGACTTTAAATAATTTTTAAAATAAAAAAAAAATTCATTTAATTTTTCCCCGTCCGAGAATCGACTTCGAGTCTAATGTGTGGAAGGCAGGAACCCTGACCACAGGACCACCTACAGTTTTTTAATTTTGTTGCTTTAATACTCGTAATTAAATTGACTTTATATAGTTTTATTTAAACAAATTATAAGTATAGACGAAATAAAAATAGAAATGCTTTTATCAATTCTACACAAGAATGACCCATTTTAATGTACGTTTAATCTCAACTAAAAAATATACTGACAATTAGTTTGACAGGAGTCACTTATTTAAAATTTTAAAATAAGCAGTCAATTGATCAAAATATAAACGGTGATTGGTGGATTTAATTTTTTTGCAGTGTTCTCACTACCTATAGAATAGATATGAAATATATTCGTTCAGTTGAAGGCAATAGCATACTTTTTCGTTTTGTAATCTGTGGGTAGATAGGCTGATATCCATGTGGGTGTAGAAAAAATTCATTTCAGTAGCAAAGTGGAAATTAAATCAAAGAAATAAATGGATAGGTGTACAATAAGAACAATTTTTAAAAATATATATTAATAATAAACGCTGTTGCTAGGTACACTCTAAAGTGTACACAAATCAAAAAATTATATACACGCGAAACGTCATATTGCTGTGGTGGGAGGTGTTATTTATGTATTTTAGTAGTAGTATTTTATAAACCTTAGAAGCAAATTTCACATACATAAACAAATAATAATAATAATACCGTGACAACAAGAAAACGAAGCAAAGACTTCTCATAGGGTGGCAGCTTCGCCGCCATCAGAAAATTTCAATCCATACCTAGCTACGCCGACCGGCCATAAACACCAACGGCCTGCACACAGCTCACCTACTCTGTCAAGACGTTTCGCGTATATATAACTTTTTGAATTGCGTACAAGTTAGCGTGTACGAATTCTATTAAAAATTGAATTCTCAGTATAGGCAAAAATAGTCCATTAGTACAAAAATGAATTGGCGCTGCTGTCACGCACGGAGCGAATATGTGCTCATACGAAAAAGGCTTTACCATGACAGCTCAAAGATAAATGTGAATTTTACAATACCTACTTAGGGCGAGTTAGGCAAAACAATATACCCAGGTAGAAAGTAATTTATTTTAGAAATTAACAAAATAGATCGTCCAAGACGCGCTAGTGCCGAGGTCAGAATCCAGGTGGAATTTAAATTGAAAGTACTTAGCTTACCAACTTTGAAACGTATTAGATATAACTTGATTACATAAATGGTTGCAATAATAATAATTATATTGCTATACAAGAGTATACGTTTGTCTTTAGGACACGAAAACGTTAATTTTTATGCATGGAATCAATGAGTGGCAATCTTAAAAAACAATCATCTATGTGTGCTAATATAATTAAAAGGTTTATAGGTTATAATAAAAGCTTTCAATAGATTGACCGCAAAAAAAACGCTTTTGCTAGATAATGATGTACAAAGTAAGACTTATTTTACTTTGAAGTAACTCTTATAAATGCAAAATCCACATCAGCACCATGGTAAAGCAATGAGATGACGCTCATAGGCGTTATCAACATGCAATATGTTAATTAAACACCTAAAATTGTAACGAGTCGTTTCTAAAGCAGTTTACCACGTGGGGTCCACACCCCACAGGACGCAATTCGAGAAAAAAAAGTCTGTATACAACAGGGCGACTTGAGACTGAAGCTAACTGAATTGGAATCGAATAAAAAAGATTTTTTCGATTTAAGAGGTATTCCAATTTGTTCTAATGACCAAGAACAATCCATACAACGGATGCTACTCCCATGGATGTTTGACCGACTTCCAATTTCAAAAACTGATATATCTTGTCTATTTTATTCAATTTTTCACTCCCAACCTATAGAGGTGGTTTTTCTTGGTTGGTCCTACATCACCACAGTACGATTTACTATTTGGAACCTCAAATTTCTCACTTGTTCTATCTCCTCAGATCTTTTTTAGATCTCAAACAATTTTCTATTTTGTTTTTGTACCTTTCAACATTCTGATACAACACTATTTTAACTGTACGTTATAATAGTATAATAATAGATCAATGTTATTTATTTCATACAATTTGTTAACAATTTATCTAATCGACCAAAAATTTAGTTTTTTCCTATTTTCCTTTAAGGTTTTATGATTACAGGCCTAAAGATGGCCCTGTGAGACCGAAACTAGTCATAACTTTATTTAATATAATAAAAATTTGATGTGATTGATTTTGTGATATTATTTTTTCATTAAAAATTAAGGCGACATTAAAATTCCAGAAGGATTTAGGAGGAGCATGGCAAAAAAAGTTTGGTAAGCACTGCTCTAAAGGAATATGAATCATCAAATACCTTTCAAACAAAAATAAACCTTGTATGTTTGACATGTGCATTGCTACACGGTACTGCAGTATTTGTAGATCTTAAAGAGAAAAAAAACAAAATAAAATAAAACACAATTTAACACTAACAATATTTTATTCTTAATCGTAGACGATAAAAATACAATCTCTTTTAATTTTACACGGTAACCAACGGTCCCATCCAGTCAGAGTATCTCTAGAATCGTTGGCCGATTTAAAATTAGCAGGACTTGACGTATTTCTCAATATAAAATTTATATTACACATAATAAATACACAAGTTGTCGAAATTACCTTAATTTAACGATATAACCTCGTTAGATCTTTCAGAGCATGCGTTACAGACTTGGAAGTATTCGATCTGAAATGAAATATAACGCAAATCAGTCAAATGTCATTGACGAACAAAATTTTTGACAGTTTTGACAACTGACAATATCAAGAATTGAACATTGATATTTATACTAACCTAGTTATGGCAATGTGTATATCCGTGAGTTGTTGAGGTGTAGCGGCTACAATACCACCGTTGCTGTGTTTCGGCAAGCATTCTATACCGGCCGCCAACCATTTACTAGTCGACTCTCTATCGAAATCTAGCAGTTGAACAAAGACATCTCCCACTTCGCTCAACATATAGGAATGAAGGTAGAACACACAAGAATGGATGAGATTTGAGACTAACTGTTGACCGTATTCGTCCAATATACTAAATAGAACAATAAGAAACGCTAATTACATATTACATTATGGTGTTCCTCAGGGGAGACATTGTGTAGCTTTTTTATTTATTTATGATGCTAATTATTTTGATTAAAATTTATTTTTTTGGATCTATATATTTGTTAAAATGTCAATCATAAGTAAATTCTATTCTATTTATAGTATAGATTACCTTCGAACCAACATTTTCCTTGTTTCATAATCAGGATCGGCTCTACCGCTCTGTCCTTGATTGACCAGATCATAAAAGAACTTCATCACAGACATATTGGCTTCCTTGTGGTCCAAAGTCGATGCCAACAGTGCACATTGCAAAATGTGTACCAGAGACGCGCACTTCAAGAAAGCAACTGGCGCCCTCTGCATGAACCGCGCGCACAACCTAAAAAAGTCATCGACGGTATCAGGATGGTTCCTGAGACCATTCTCCTCTTGCAACAAATGGAAGGTGGGCTCTAAAAATGCTTGTAACATGTCCAAAAGTCCTTGGACGCAATGCGCGTCCGTTGCATATTCGTCTACTAAAATGCTTCCTACGTATAGGAAGCAAGAATGTTTATATAGACTATAAATGCGCACTATTTGTCCTACGAGCGAATCTAAAAGTTCCCGAACTTGTTGAGACACGCACCTCAGCATGAAACGCACTGCACGGCAACATCTCTCCATTATCCTAATGTCACTTTGGTATTTGTCAAATACTCGCGACAGTACTGGCCACACTTCCAGTATGACAGGTTTGCATGGATTTAATTCGCCTAAAAAACATGTTACTACAACATTTAGCATATGGCTGGCTACCTCAGGTCAAAAAGAAACATCTTAAAATAACGTATTTTTGAAACATTTAATTTATTTCTGTTTTAAACGAAGATATAATAATATATCGTCAGTGTCAAGTCAAAATCAGATATGTACAGAAGGCTTAAAAAACTTAACAATGAATCTCCTCAACAAACTCAAAATATGTCATGTACAGTAATATCTCAATTTCTGACAAAATCCCACATAGTAAGTAGCTTTTGACTTAACAGCGAAGATAATGTTTAGTGTCATGACAAGACACTTCTACATTAATTCATCTTTTGAACTGGGCATTAATCGATATTTACAACTGTTCAAAACTTACCCTCATGTACATTAACGTTAATGTACCTCAGCACCGAACTAAGTCTATCCAACCAAGTCACGGGATCAGTTTTAGAACCTTTGAGCGGAGTGACGTCTTGTTCTATGAGTTGACAGATCGGATTGAGTTGCATGGAACACAATTCTCGTAGCGCCGCCGTCATATCGCCGTGAGGCATCCTTCCGATTATAGAAGCCACGCCTTTCAGCAGACCTATCGTGGCGGTGTTGCTTATCGCAAACGTTTCCGATTGGTGGAGGAGCTAGAGTAACGTCAGATGTCTTAAGATCGGCATGTACACTTTGGCCAACGGTTCTTTTAACAGTAAAACAGCTATAGCTGAAGCCGCCAAGGATTATGCACAGTGAATAGAAGATCGGAGCTAAATTCGTTCCGGTTTTTTGAGGTGATCACTTGGATCTTAATACATTATAGTCGAAGATGTGCATTTTGAGACGTTACCAAATATGTGACGTAAAAAATAGTATTGAAAATGAAATTGTAAATTTTGTTTTGAAATTTATGCAGGATGAATCAGATGGAAATAACTTATTGTTTTTTTTTTCGTTCTGTCTCAAGTTAACACATGTCGCGGCTTATGCTATTCCTGTCAATCTGTAGGTATGATATAGGTGTGCAGAACCGCTGAACTAAAGATTTATTTTTTATTTTATTGTTCTTAGACACAAAAATCGAATTTTTATTAAATTACCTGTAAAAGGATCGGTACATGGCGCGGCATGTGCTCACTACAACTGGCGCAGATATTCTGGAGAGCGACGGCAGAGGCGGCGCCTACACCGTGTTGAGGCAAACAACAAACTAAAAAATTTAAAATTGGATCCAAAGTATTCGGATGTTTTTCTATCCATTCGCAAAGTTCACCCAATAGCAGAACGGATGTGTATTTTACTGCTACGTGAGTGTTTTCCGGGACGTTCAATATTGCTTCTACCACCTTCGGAACAACTTCATTTTCTGATCTGCAAATATATATAACAAACCTCTACCATAGATCAATTTTTTTTTTTTTAGTTACTTACGGTAAAACGTTTTTTGCCACTGCTTGCATAATAAATAGAGCAGCTTCACTGGAGTCCCACGTGACTCCAGGTGCTTGTAAACTCATAAACATCTGTCTGAAACAGCTGCTACTTCCCACTATAAATACAACGTCTTTTATCAAGTCAGATACCTGTAAGGAATAAGTTGCAACATCATTAAATAAGATTCAAAAACGGTTTTAATCATTTTACCTTTAACCTAAAGTCTCTGAATTCATCTCCTTCTTCTAGTAGGCCTTCGCTGTCAGGTTCCATTTGACAATGCCTGCATAATGCGGTTACCAGCCTTTCCACGTAAGGCCTGAAAAGTTCTGTCAATTCTTTGTTGTTTTTTTGATATAATTCTTCGCTTAGGACATACCACAGATTAAAAGTTATTTCGGCAACCTATAAAATAATAAATCTTATGAATATCATTACTATTGTATTGTAATAACATTTATACCTCATAATCATGATGCCCAACACACATTAAAACGAAATCCAAAATTTTAGTGGCATAATGCATCTGTTCCGTGTTACTATTGTTGATAATCTTTTCCAAAAATGATTCTGCTAATTCTGTGAATAACCTACAATAGTCCATAGATTTTCCTTGATCTTCGTTGGCGACTGACAAGTGATAAGGTACATCCAAATTAATTATATTATTAAAAAGATAACTTTCTAAACCTAGTTGATTATTGTTATCTTCTAAACATAACAATAAGGTGCATATACAGTCTGTAGCAGCCTCGTGGAAGGCACCTAGAAGAAATACAAAGATACAATACTGTCAAACTTTAATTAGTTATATATTTAACTAACCTGATATGGTATGTTTGTCATTTTGAGGCTTAAAGTTCAGTATTTCAAATGCCCTATTGATTACTACGTTATTTGCAAGATCGTTCAGACTTATGGCACCTACGGATACCCAAGATGTGAAACAACGCAATATTTTTACATTGACCTGAACGTGCTCTTGCCAATTTGTGCCGTAAAGATTGGAGCAATGTTTCAAGAATTCGTTGACAGTGGGGGCGCAAAATTTCATGTCTTCTAATACCTCAATTCGCCTATTTTCACCTAGCCTATAAAACATATGAGGATGGATGTATTGTCTTAAATATACAATGTGTATTTTGATTTCCGATACTTAGTTTCCATAAAACGTTTTTGATTAAAGTTTTATGAAATAAATTAAGTTATCAATCAAAATTATGAAGGGTGCATCATTAATTCATTTGAAATATAAATAATAATTTTTATATGCGGCATAGAGAACGCTGCCTATAGGAATATTTAGGTGTTGAAGGCACCAAAACTTTCATTATTTCATTGATACCATCTTTCATGGTACTAATTAGGGATCGCCATGCCTAACGGCAATATGAAAGTTCAAATTCGATTTTTTAAGCTATTGCATAGCTTTTATCGCGAGCTTTGAGTGGCGACCGAATCAAGAAATTTCGTAACACCGTAACGAAAAACAACCTAACACCCCCCACTCCGACCGGCACAGCGTTATAGCCATGGAAGGTTTTATCCGACCCTATTCGTATTAGTATGAAGCGGATTTAAATATATGTCTGCGGACTGGAACATTTATGCAATACAAGAACTAGAAGAGCTTTCTCTGGCTTCTAATAAATTGGTATCACAAATGTTCCCGGCTGGCGTAAATATTAGATATTAATTTTTAAGCTATTGCATAGCTGTTATCGCGGGCTTTGAGCGCGGCGATCGAATCAAGAAATTCCGCGAAAATAAACCATTGTCTGCATTGTCTAACGTCGTTTCAGTTCGGCAGACTTCGGAACTGTGTTTGTGTGCGTGCGACTAGACGTATGCGTGTAGACTAGCTGCTAACTGCTCATAACTGATTCTCTTTTAGACCCAATGCTAGGCCCACTGGAGTTGTACAGTATATTTTTTCTACGACTCACTAACAAAAATCAAAATTTCGAGAAATCGTAAAATCGACAAAAAGTCTGTCCATGTGTGGATCAGGTAAAGAGTCAAAACCGCTAAATCAGTTGAAATCAGTTTTAACTCTGCAATAGAGAGTAAAATTTTGTAAGATGATACCCTAATATTTAGAGGCGATGACAAATGAATGTTTCAAGTAAATAAACGACAGACCGATTACAGATTGAATATTGTCAGCGCAGGCACAAAGACAGTTGAAAACTAACTTTCGACGAAGTTAGATTTGTATCGCTTTAACTATTTACGATAATTAATTATTTTTTGTATAAGTGCTCTTTTCTGATATACGAGTAGGTGTTCATGTTTGTGCCTTACAATTTGGTAGTGGTAGTGCATATTCGAAGAGTTATATTTATTTATTTACGGGAAAACCCCATTTTACAATAAAAAATATATGTTATATGCACAAATACAAAATAAAAAACATCAAAAATTGTATCATGTAAAACATTTGATTAACAAGGCAGACAATAACAGTACTTTTAAGTGTTATTAAGAAAGTGGTTAGCAATACTTCTTTTAAATGAAGGATATGACGAACCAAAAAAGTCCAAGTCTATTTCTATACTGTTAGCACTCCTAACCAATCCTGTTGATGGACTATAAAAGCCGTAATTTTGTCTATGGTGTCTAATAAAAAAAGTTTCATTAGCTGTGGTTGCACTATTAATTTAAAGACCAATTTTTAATAAAATATCAGGAGAATATATTGACCCAGACAAAAGTTTAAATATGAAGCATAGATCTAATTGAGTTCTCCGTTTCTGCAAAGTTGTGATCTCTAATCTGGAACAAAGGTTAGCATAATCGTAATTATTTATACGCACTCCTAATTTATATGCTGAGCATCTCAGAAACTTATGTTGAACCGTTTCACGTCTATTAATGTGAATGCAATAATAAGGGTTCCAGACAACAGCTGCATATTCCATATTAGAACGAACAAGAGTGCAGTAAAGAATTTTCAAAGAATTTATTGAGAGACCATTAGAGATTCTTTGTATATAACCCAGCAACTTTCTGGCTTTTAATGATATCATTGTAATGTGTTCTGAAAAAGTAAGTTTTTTATCAAACATTACGCCAAGGTCCTTTATTTGGGTCACCAATTCAAGATCTTATGAATTGATACAATAAAAGTATAGTCTATCATAGTATGGCACCTATTAAACTTAATATAAAAACATTTACTTAAATTCAAATTCATACAATTTACATTACACCACAATGCTTGGTTGTTAATATCAGTCTGTAAATCAAAACAATCAGATATACTTTCAACAATTTTAAAGATTTTTAAATCATCTGCAAATAGTAGGAACTGAGACTTTTTTATACAACATGCAATGTCATTTACAAATAGATTAAAAAGAAGCGGACCACAATGGGATCCTTGAGGAACACCAGACAATACTTCAATCAAATAAATGTTATTCCCAATTTTGACCCACTGATACCTACCAATTAAAAAACTAGATAGCCAATTTAAAAGTATACCATTGATACCATATCGTCGGCATAATATGAAAATTGCATAAGTCCGAAATGAACAATTTTACAGGAGAGACAAAAAACGAGTTTAAGGCTTATTTAAAATTGATAGTTAAATAAAAATTACTAGTAGGTTATATTGTTCGTATTAGAAGGGGGTCACATTATCTGGATGATTATATTGCACGTAATTTATAAATAGTGGATTTATGCAATATTCATTCTCTAATTTAAACTCAATTTGGACTTGCGCAAAATTCATACAAAATAGCTTGTTTTAAATACTTTTTTTTTTTTTCACAAAACTTGTAACAATAATATTAGTCGGTACTTAACTAATTATTTAAGTAGAATATTTTTAAACTAAGTAATTTTTTTAATCGTATACCAAATTATCATAAAAGTGGTGATAGTTGCTCTTCATTGTTTTTTTCAAAAACATTAGATGATCGTGCTTTTCTTTCTTTATTTTTAGTTGGCTCTGATACAAGTTAGGTAAAGCATCCAGAGGGAAATACTGGCTTATTGCTTAACCTTATTGGCAATTCTCCAAAAGTATATGTATGCCGTATTTTGTAGTCAATGGTACCTTCTAAATTATACTTTAGTGCTCTTAGGTTAGTTAGTGTTGGATCGCCTGGACGAATAGATTTTATTAGTTTTATATCAGAATTTTTTTTAAAATAAGTATGTTGTATACCGCTGACATTATATGATTTTTTTCGGACAGATCTGTAAACATTCAAATTCAAATCGTTTATTTTACATAATTTAAGTAGTACATTAACAGAACATTGTTTGGAATGGATTCTCTAAGTCACGAGTGACTTGTCGAGAGTACATCCACAGTCATTGGGATACTAACCTATCAATTTAACATAATAATACATATAAAATACAAAATAATTTTCTAATAATTATAGAATAAATAAAAATAATCTTCAAAAGGAAAAACTTGTATTTCGTGCAAAACTTTTTTATTAATCAATGCAAAGCGCTTTCGGCTTATTTGCCATCATCAGTGCTCATCTACAAAAATTGTGGATGTAAAATTACAATTTAAAAAGATTTTAAAAAATATATTATAAAATCTGAATTAGACTTTTAAGTCAAAAGTTAAAATAGTATATATACAATTGTTTGAACAAATTAAAAATTACAAGAAACAAACAAAGTGACAAAAAACTGGTATTGGGAATAGTGAGTGTGGGATAAGCCCTTACAAATCAAATCTGATCTCCAGAAGCAAGTTAGCTTGTGTGGAATTAAGGAATCATGCCACCCTCACTATTCACAAAATTGAAAAAAGGTTAACAATAGTTCAGTAGTCCAGTAAAAGATACATGCCTCTGGCAGGCAAGGAATTCAACCCTGTTTGTATAGACATGATCTTGGGTGATGGATCTAGTGTTAATATTATGTTGAATATAATTTTTATAAGTATTTTTATATTTCATATAGTTTAAGGTGCTTTTTACGTAGAGTTCTCTTATTGATAGAGCTCCACTCTCAGTGAATAGGCTTTCAGATGAATATCTTTTTGGTTTTTTATTTATCTTGAGAATATATTTTTGTGTTAGTGTTAAATTCTGTAAGATATTACCACACGTACTTCCCCAAATTTTTAAACCATAGTTTATGCTAGATTCAACTAAAGCTTGATATATAGTTTTTACCAGTTTTTTTTGTCATAAATTCCCTTAATTGGTAAAACTTATACATTGTTTTCCTAATTTTCTTAGTTGTGTATTGAACATGAATATCATATTTAAGATTTTGGTCAATATAAACACCTAGATATTTTATATTTGATGCTGAGTTTATAGTTTTTGTGCAGTTGCATATTGTATCCTTATTAAAGCACTGGTATGTATTTTAATATCAGGTTGGATATCAATATTATTACTTATTGAAAATGGTACAAAATATGTTTTGCTTTCATTTAGGGTTAGAAGGTTTTGATCCATCCAGAATTTAACTAATGTTATATATTGTTCTGCTAGTCGATATGTATCTGTCCATGTTTTAGCTTTAATTAATATAACTGAGTCATCTGCATAACAGATAATGAGGCCATTTTTTCTGGCAATATCTTTGTAAGGTAGTTAATGTAAATTGAAAATAATAGAGGCGCAATGACCGTGCCCTGAGGCAGACCCCTATTTGTACTTTTTTCTTACAGCCTACATTGTTACACTAATATAGTGAGCAGGCACATTGAAATTTCTACCTTTTAACATACTCTCAAATGTGGAATGCATGGAGACGCAATCAATTTGGGTTGACCCTTCTCTAAATATTTTTGTACAATACAAACTTTTACTGTTACAGCAAGGTTAAGTAAAGCATTGGCCATGATACAGTTTTGATTCTGAGCAACACACTATATAGAAAGACAAAAAAAGGCTCCTTAGAAGCCCCTAAAACGCATACGCGTGGTCGAAAATTGTTGAAATTGGATGATAACCAAAAACAAATCATTCGAAGAACTGTTTCGAAAACAAAGCCCCAACACTTAAAGTTGATCTTACGAAATTAAGAGGAAACGAAGAAATTCCATTAATGAGCCGTGAAACTTTACGAAAAATTTTATGGGGCCTAAAATTTCGTTTTGTCAAACGGTGTAGGAAATCAATTTTAATTGAGAGGTCGGATATAGTATCCTGGCGACGGCGTTATTTACGAAATATTAAAGAGTTTGGAGCCGCTAAAAAAAAAAGATATACTATCTCGATGAAACGTGGGTGAATGCTGGACACACGGTATCTAAGATATGGCAAGATACTTCTGTAACTAGTCATCGCCAAGCTTTTATAGAGGGATTATCTACAGGTTTGAAAACACCATCAGGTAAAGGACAGCGCCTAATTGTTACCCATATCGGAAGTGACAGTGGATTTTTGGAAAATAGCGCTCTTGTGTTTATATCGAAAAAAACAGGAGACTACCATGAGGACATGAATGCGGAATGCTTTGAAAAATGGTTTACTAAAGTATTACAGCGTGTAGAACGAAATTCAGTTATTGTATTAGATAACGCTTCTTATCACAGTCGACGAGTTGAACGCATTCCGATAATGCCCAGTAGCAATAACATTTACTGAGGAGATGCTTAAAGTGGAATTAATGGACCTAATAAAGGAACACCGCCATAAATATATTCAATATGTTGTCGACACAATGGCTCGTGATTGTATTCTTGCGGTACTAAGACTTCCCCCTTATCACTGCGAATTCAATCCTATTGAACTAATTTGGGCGCAAGTGAAAGGGTTTGTAGCTCGAGAAAATAAAACTTTTAAAATCGCCGACATTTAAAGTTTATTAAAAACCGGTATAGAATGTATAAAACCTGAAGATTGGCAGAATGCTGCTTCCCATGTAATTAAGGAAGAAAATAATATGTGGCGCTTGGACGGTATGATCGAAACGGTAGTTGAACCTTTAGTCATAACTTTAAGTTCCGATGATAAAGACGCTTCCAGTGATAGTTCTGCAGAATCAATGGATTACGAAACTTCATAGATTTAGAATTCAAGTAAGCGATACCATGCTTAATTTACATATTTTTATAATAAACAAAATACAATTATAAACATAGATGAATTATTATAACAAAAATAGATAACCAACCTACTTTCATCTAGTAATATTCACAAATACCCATTTAATTTGCTAATATAGTAATTCTGCGTCACTGAAAGAGTGCATTTTGATATGATGATACCTTTTGCAATTTTAAGGCGCACCTTCTTCAATATTTTGTTCTAGTATAATACCCCATTTAATTTTCCAATAGTGTTTCTACGCCACTGGCATAATATTTACATATTTGAACAATAAACAAAACAAAATTATAAACATAAATGATTATTACTACAAAAATAGATAACCAACCTACTTTCATCTAATATTATTTACTATTACCGCATTTAATTTGCCAATAGTTTCTATACGCCACTGGCGTAATACATTTTGGCAATAAACATGCATTTATGACTAGTTGGCACGTGATACCGATAACTTCTGCAGTTTTAAGCGCGTGATTCCATTCATTATGCTCTGGTATAGTACGATTGTTGTACGTGAACAGGGAGGAATCACCTTCTTCAATATTTTGTCCGAGTATAATAGGCCATCAGCATATTGGATAAAATCTGATTGGGGCTGATTCAAAATTTATTGAAATCTTACAAATATAAAAAAATACTGGCATTAATATTGATCCTTGTGGCACTCCCATTGTATATTTGAGATGAGATGATGTTACTTATTACTACTTGTGTTCTGTTTGATAAATAAGATTTAGCCCAATCATATGGTATTCCTCAGGTCATAGAAAAGTTGCCAAGTATTTTTCTTATCATTTAATGGCACTATAAAGTCCTAACATGCTACTATAACACTGGCAGTAGATTTTTTACTATGAATCTATTTGGAATGGCTGGCAACAATTTATAATGTTTATTATAATTTATTAATCTTAGAGAATATGCAGATTCAAAAATGTTTGTAATTTCGATTCGAATACTGATTCGAGGATAATTATTTATATCACTTGATGGGCATTTATTTTTATAGACAGGAATTCCTTTAGACAGGAAAATAAGTTTGTTGGTTATAGTAGATTTATGAATTAAAACATTTTCATGTTGAGAGTCTAACTACTTTTTCTGAAAATATGTACAAACTTTAATAAATTCAAAACATGATGGGTTTTTAGTAGACAATTTAGAAATACTTATTAGCAAATTAACCAAAGGAAATGAAGTAGAAAAAGTATTGGCAATCAGCCTGATTGGGTGGTATTGAAAATGATCATGATTTGGTATTAAATGCAATGAATCCTAATTGTAAAAAAAAAACAAATAAAATCCATCAATTTTTGATGCAATATATAAACTACGTAGACTGTTTTATTACATAAAATGTCTCGTAAAATGTTTATATTCTTTTATACAGAAACATATCCTTATTCTGCTCAAAGTATTTTTACCTCTGAGAATATAGCTTTAGTTAAAGTAATTTTGTGGGACACATGCTATTTTTTAAACAAAATAGAACCTTACAAATGTTAATTTTTAACTCATACTTTCACTTTTTTCAATATAACTTTACCTTACAGATCTACTTTCCAATTCCTCTGGTAAAACAGTCAGAATTTCTAATAAAGGCCAAATATTAGTCTGAGAAAACCTATTTATTAAATCTAGAGTAGCTTTCTGCCAGCTAGGCATCTGCAATGCTAGATCTGCTAATGCAACACACAATTGTGTCACAATAGCTGTGCTGGTAGCTTCATTTATTTGACCAATATGTTCTAACAAAGAATCTCTTAGAGATGTATGAACTTCTTGTGGTAATTCATGGAAAGATTGGTGAATTTTCGTTCTCATGGTCTGAGCTGCAAAATAGCAAGACTCTAGATCTCTTTTCATATGAAGTAGCTCGTCTGCTACTGTCCAAGCGTGGACCTAAAACAACATAAAATTGAAAATAGTTCTATAGTAATTTCAGTAAACACTTACGGATTTTTGAAGTTCTAAAAGCCATTGGGATGCTCTTTCTTTCTCGCCTCTGTTAGGATTGTTATACAGAGCTGAAACTGCGGATATCACTAAATCTAACGCAGGTTTCTGATCCATATTTAAAAAATCAATTAAAAAATTAGTGTAAAGTATCGAAAGTTATTGCATCGATTAGAAAATGCATTATTTTTTAAATAATTTGTCAAAACCTCAAAAAACCGAATATTCAGCTCCTCGGTAAATTAGTTACCGATGCGTCAATAATGTCAATGTCAAAATTTAGGACATTTTTCACGAGCTCAGGTAAAAATGGTGTAAAACATTTTGGGAGGTGGACAGATTTTGTGACGTCATCGCAAACTTTGTGACTGCCACAATCATTGAATGATGTAATAAATTTAGATCAATACCTATGCTATAATACGATTCACCGCAAGCTATTCTAGAAAATGCAACTTCCAACAACCTGTCAAACTGCTGCCTGTGGGTATTGATATGGCAACCCTGTGGCCCATCTGTGGCCTCATCACGGTTGCTAAGGACGCGGTGACGTCAAGGAATGAAAAAGTGAGTTGACAGCACATGCTTTGACTACAATCAAAGTATGTGATTGACAGAAACTATTTTACTTTGTGTCGTACATTAGTTTTTTAAAAAATCCAATATTTTATTGATATTTAGTGGTGTTTATATTTTTATTTTTGAACTTTTTTCTGGTGTTAGAGTTTTTATAATATCGGTAGTTTGGTTTTTTGAAAGACAAACTACAAAACAGCACATACTTTGATTTTCTCTTACTATACGGCACATAATCAAAGTATGTGGGATTTAATACACAATAATAAAATTTTTGCTATCTTAATGTGGGTCAGTGGTAAAAGGTTTGTACAAAAAAAGAAGTTGAATATCCGAAGCCCCCTGTTGATTTGATTTATAAAGGCATTTGGCAGAACTGACTTATCAAAATTTATGGCGCTTTAGTTTGAAATATTTTCCCGTAGGCGGGTAAATTTGAATAAACATATTTCGATGTTAACAGGATTTGCAGAAAAGTAAGTATTTTTGTATTTTACATATATTCTAGATGCGTATTATTAACGATACATTATTTAAGGGCGCCCAAAATTAAGCACGAAAGCGGTTTGAAAGAAAAACCCATAAAACATATAAAACTGGACGAAGTGAAAGATTTATTTGCAGTTTTCGAATTTAAAGAGGAAATAGGTCACGGAAATTTTGGATTAGTCGTAGAGGCTATAGAAAAATCATCATCCACGCACTTTGCCGTTAAGATAGTTAATAAATATGCTGTAAGTAAAATCACATTATCATCTCTTTTTATCTATATTTTGCATAAATATGTTTTAGAAAAATATTCGATATTTTAATCTCAACCACATTTATAAAAAAAGAGTATATTAATTTATCTATTTTTAGTTTTATTTTAAAGACAAAATAGTTCAGTACCATTTTCTCTTTTGGTTAGTGAACCGATTTTCTATTTTATTGTTTTGTTTACTGGCTGACCCGGCGGACTTTGTATAGCCTAACAGTCATTTAAAATGTTAGCATGTTAGCAAATACACAGACCTAACAAAACTTTTCCCCCTACAATTGAATCTACACATTTGAACACATTTTTTATACAACATAATTTAAATGTCGAATTAAATCCGTGTTCTTCTTTAATGTCTGCTCCAAATGAAGTCATTTAAAAACAGCCATTGTATTATTGGAGTGTTCCCTAGAAAATGAATTTCTGTTTCACCACGAGGCAACGAATGGCTCCGATGGCAAAGTACATAATGGCAATTTCACTTTGCCATTAAGGCAACATATGCACAATCCATCAGACGTTTGTCCAGCAAATTGTTTGCAAACAACCCCCATTGGATCAATGCAAACGATGCAAGCTGTAATCAATTGTGCAATCGTATAGAAACGCTGTTCGATTCAAATCAACACTTGAAGCATTTCTTCTTGCATATCGAAGATTATCTCGTTGTTGATCTGTGCGATAAGCTCGATGATTTCTCATTGCCAACCGAGCCATTTCACGGACTGCCTCTCTTTGCTCTTGTGTTTGAGAAGCCGGAAATCTGGCCATAACTAACGCGGCGTTGTTCTCGTGCGATTTTTCGATGCTCTACATTAGATTGACTCGTAATGTTCCGTAGCCTAATTGCATTACGGCTTTGTTGGTAAAGATTAGGTCTTCTGTATCGCAGCATAGGTTATAATAATACTCGCTCAATAAGATTTATTAATAGCTCTCGCACAAAACAAACAACCCAGACAACACGCCAAATCCCAGAGATATCCACAGAATATCTTTTGTGGATATCCAATATATCCACAGGATATCAGAAATATTCCGTGGATCTAATATGGATATCCAAATGTCCGTCTATATCCAGAATATAGAAGATATCCTAATGGATATCCAGCAAAATATCTAATGGGTATCTTCCAGAAAATACAAGAAATCCCAGAGATATCCACAGAATATATTTTGTGGATATTCAATATATCCAATATGGATATCCAACCATGTGTCCGTCTATATCCCAGGATATAGGAGATATTCGGATATTCAGCAAAATATTTTATGGGTATCTTTAGTAGAGGTTCATAAGTAACCAATGATTATTGAATAACGTCGAAAGAAAATAGCAGAGATAAAAAATATAGCTTATACTGCTCCTCGCAACGGCACTGGAATGTTTCGAGAGTTTCTCATATATTTTTTATTGTCAATCTTGTGGTACTAATGACTGATTGACCAAATGATTGGGACCAATCGATTAGATAGTTGTCATTTCTTCTCTATATTTTTTACACTTCTATATATTTTAATATCTTTCTAGAAAAGTTGTAAGCGTGCGTAACCTGAGCTGTCAATTGCGGAAGATGGCGGAGATCCAAATCTAATTTATTTAAAAATTAAATTTCTTTATATTTTTTCCGTTCATTTTGCCGATATTTTAATAGTTATTCTACTATTTAGGGTGGAGACAATAAATAATAAGAGATCATTAAAATCGATCTAGTGGTTCTTGAGTTATAAATGGTGTAACCAACCCGACTTTTTTATTCATTTAGATTGACGAGCTTTAGTGGAAATAGTTATATTTTTTGTCCCAACCTTCGATAATATGAAATCTATTGAGCCACAATTATGAATTATGATTGACTAATAAAATTAGCCTATAGGAAAATATTACATAGACCGATAGAGGATCGCGAAAGAAAAGAAAACAAAAATTTCCCTACCCACTCCTCCAACTTCCCCCCTCTCTTCATCGGCCACGCCTAAATGGCAAGGGATAGAAAAAACTAAAAGCACCCCAGGGGAGGTCGATATATAGAACCCCTAGACTTAGGAAAATGAACTTCGGGTACGATTGCATTGGACTTGGAAAAATTTCACCCCACAAAGGACAAGTCACTCACCTCCCTCTAAGTGTAGGTGAGGGTGAAACATTTTTTTCATAATATTTTGAGATATTGGTCAAAAAATTTAAAAAACTCGAAGAGTAGTCTAACCTTCTTCCCCCACCCCTTTTTTATATTTTTTCTGCGCTGTTAAAGATTATTTTCAATATGGTTCAAGACAGGGTGCAAGCTAAGGTCGGATATAGTAGAGCGATGGGGTTACCCACGCTCAACCTCCCCTTTTTTTAAGGGTCTCAAGAGTAACCTCAAAATATAACTTGTGTTTTATGTCATATCAATAAACGAGGGTTTTTAAATTGTGAGTTACTGTTATTTTATTAAATTTATTTTTTATTAAAATATAATGGTACTGAACTATGTTGTATTGTAAGTTCACATAAAAGTTTATAGTCGCATATATACAATGGCCGAATTTAAATAAGAATACAAAAAAAATCTTAGAAACATGCAAATACATATGTTTTCCTCAAATTTTCAAAAATAATTATATGGTCGAATATCGACTACTAAATTAATAAATAAAAATATCACAGCCATACTTGAAACGTGTGTAGTTTTTAAATAATAGTTTGATTTTTACCGCAATTATGGGGCAATTCAAAAGATTTTTTCGAAAAAATAATTTAAAAATCGTTAGAGCAGTGGCGTAACTTTAAATTTTGGGCCCCTCAAAAATCAATTTTGGTGCTCCAACCCTATGGCTACCTGCTCTCACCAAATAATTTGAAATAATGTACCCAGTTCTCATATTTAATAATACTAATTGTCGCGGTTTGATCGATATATAGGTTTCTATCGGTGTATCCACGCCATAAACAAGCTAGGAGCGACATTCGGTCCTTTACTAAATCATGAACTGTAGAAATAATAAAGTTTGAAAATACCTGTGCGATCCATAGGCCTGGGAGGCCTGATCGAATACTTTATTTTAAACACTAATGGAATGATTTTATCTATCACTACAAAGTTCACTTAAGACGTAAACATTTTTTACATTATTTCTCTAGGAAATATGTTACTTAAGCCATGTTAATATATATAAAAATTATGTTACATGATGGCGGACAGAGCTTCGACATTTTAATATCGCAAAACGCTGTGATGTGTTCTCATTGAGGTAATGAAGCTTTAGAGTCACGCTTGTGAGGTTGACCAATAAGGAAGGGTAAAGACGCCTGTGGCGCTAACCAATGAAAAGTGGATGACAACTATGGCGTTAACCAATGAGAAGTGGATAAGAAGTAAATGATGCCTTTGACGTAGTTATTTGTCGGGAGACCTTCCTTATCGGCCAAGATAGTGCCAATTACAGAGACGTCTTCAGGAGTAGTAAAAAATCGAGAATGAAAGCTTACTGTATATTGAATACAATATTGAGTGTAAAGACGGTTTTCCACTAAACGGACAGTTGCGTTTATGTTTTGTTTGTGTTTTCTGGAACTTGAAAAACAAAAACAAAACTGAGACAAACCCAAAATTAACTCTTCTTTCCATCAAGCGGACTATATTTTGTTAGTTTTGTTTTTGTTGTCAGTCCTGGTTGTTGCGAGGAAGAGTGAACACATTTTTTTCAATATTTTATTTATATATCTATTTTTTTTTAAGATAGGTCCAAATTGTCAATACATATAAAAGTAGTTTAAAAGATGTATGTGACATCATCAAAACCTAAAATGGACAATATTTAAACTTAACCTAGTCTGTCTCTGACACAGAAATAATAATAATAATAATAAATTGCCTTTATTTGCTTGTAATATACAATGCACATAAACATCATGAGGCGAAGTCTAGCTTGCGCTACTCAACTTAACCTCAACATAAATTTAAAATAATCAGAAGGTATCCATCATTTACAATATAAAAAAATAACAAATTTAATATACAATTAATTTATGATTAAAAAATGTTAACCCTGTATTTAATCTAAACTGAAATCAATGGAACTTAAAATACAATTAAATAAGGAAAAATGTTTGAAATTAATAATATATTAACGTTAGCACTGTATTCATTGCTCAACTAATAGCAACGTTTTATAATTTTGTTTTAAAAATGTCAGAGAACATGTCCTAATTTCCCTAGGTAGACTGTTATATATTGAAATGGCGTTATATGTGAAAGATCTTTTGAAAAATGATAATCGGTAATTCGGAATCGTTAAGTTGTGTGGATATCTCAAATGTAAACTGTGCAGATCTTTCCGATATATCAATTTATTTTTTAAGTATATGGGAGTTGAGGTTAAAAGAATTCGAAATACCGTGGCCGCCATCTGATATTTAAATAAATTTCCTATATAAATATACTTATATAAATTTATCCAGCGTTTCAAAATAAATTATTACTAATTACTTATCCATAAAAAATACGTTATTTACTTACCTCGTACCAATTTAGAACAAAATTTAGACTACACAACAAGACCTGTTTTAGTAAACAGACTCGAGTTTCAAAACACGTCAAAACCTTTTGATGTTACCGCTTTCGAGCGGGACTCAAGAAACAAATACAACTGTCGTAAAACACGCCAGCCTTCAAAAAGTCTGAGAAAAGTTGTAGTTTTGTTTTTCTCAACACGAGTTTGTGTTTTGTTTTGTCCGTTTAGTGGAAAACTGTCATAACGATGAATGTAATTTGTTGAATGTAATTTGTTGAATGTAATTCAACAGTAATAATTACGGTTAGGTAGGTATATATTCAAAGAATATATTTTTCTGCAGTTTGTGTTATAAGTACCGTCAATAACATACGCATAACACAAACGTTAAAAATGGAAGAAAAACTGTCACAAGTAAAAATAATTAAATATGAAAATCTTGAACAATATTTAGTGGAAATCTTTACGCCTCTAGCTTTTATGGAAGCGAATTCGAATATTCCTCTGTATTAATTTCAAAGTAATTTTAATTATTTTATTACAGATTGAAAATAGGAAATAAAAGTTAAAAGTACATTTTGAACTATTTAAAATTTATAAATAAAGGGGGTCTCCGGGCCCATTATTAGTTACGCCACTGCGTTAGAGGCTTTAAGAAACGTCAAACAAAACGAAAGAACAAAAAAGTCAAACAATATTTTTATGATTTATTTTGTATTTTATTTTTAAATGTTGTGTTGTACTTTTTGTAATGTATAATTAAATAAACAAAGAATTGTGCGTGGGACATCAAAAAATTCCTCACAACTAATGTTAATGTTAATGATGATGATGTTTCAATATTTTTTCAGGGGGTTCTACCGACCATGTTTCTTAGAAAATTTTGCAATTTCAGTGCTCTTTGTCGATATATTTAATTCTCGCATCAAGAAAAATGATTGTATGTACGAAAGAGAATTTTTTTCTAAATTGCGTGTATTATTTAACAATTTTTGTTGGAATTCGCTTTTAAAGAAAAAAGATCTGAAATAAATAAAAAGATCGTTTGCTTATCTCCGATACCCTTCAGAAACATGAACTAAAAGAAGAGTTAACATCACAAAAAAAGGTTCGACTGTGAACCAAGATTACAATTTCTAACTCTAATCGTTTTTAAGAAAAAAGAGTAAAATGGTTGGTAGAAGACTGTTAAAATATTGCAACATCAGTATGGAACACCTTGTATATTATTTTAATTCACTATTAGGCTGGAAGCTTGAAGTTGGAAGAAATTCAAAGAGAAATAAAAATTCTCAAATCAGTGACGCATCCAAATATTATCAACTTGGATAGAGTTTATGAAACAGGAAAGAAAATTTACATGGTCTTCGAATTATGCAATGACAATTTGTTTAATAAATTTAAGTCGTGCAACGCTTTTCCAGACAAGACCATTAAAAAAATTATAAAACAGCTGGTGGATGCTGTCTACTATTTACATAGACATGGTGAGCAGTGTAAATACACTTTTTGTCCATAGGGGAAATGTGGGTAAATATGACATAGAAGGGCAAAATTACTTTTTACTTTCACAAAAAATTAATAGCATTTACGGCCCTCCAATTCTGCCTATATGGTAGGAGAGCAACTTTTTCGTCCATTCTTACCTTGTACAAGGTAGAAACATAAATTATGTTTATAATAATATGAATACAAAATACGTCTTAAAAATAAGGGTATCTACATCTACTTACCTCTTACTGTTATTATTTTGGGTTCAACAATTTCAATATTTCACGAAAGCGCTGTGCCGTGGAAAGAACCTCATTCCACGGCACACGCTTTCGTCAAATGCATTCAAACAAATAAGATGGACGCGACCCAGCTCTAGTGACCCGTTCAAAAAAGGAAATTTCTTGTTTTTATACCACGTGCATATCGTAAACATGTATTTAAAAGTAATTTTAATTAGAAAATGTAATAATTTAAATAATATAAATTTTGCTGCAATTACAATTCCAAATTACTTTAAGAAAAAAAATACTTAAATACAATTACAAATTACATAAAAAAAAATAATTGTAATTATTACGTACTTTTTAACTAGGAATTGCCCAGCTCTGTGTTGTAGGTTGCTAAAATAAAAGTAGAGATTTTTATTACATACTTAATTTATTAGAAAATAATTTAATTATTACTAAAATAAATGATTTAGCTCTGTTATACTAAAACGAAACTAGTTGTTACCCGCCTTTCCCCTATTTTCTCCCTTTTCGAATAAAACTATTATTTTCTTTAAATCCTAATACTTTGTGTGGGTTTTTTGGTAAAACGAATTACATTTTCAGTCATAATTAAAATGTATTAATATTGTTTTTAAGATATAGTCCACAGGGACATTAAAATGGAAAATATCCTTATTACTAAAAATCCAGAAGATCCAAATGACGAGCTTTTTATAAAACTAACAGATTTCGGATTGAGCATAAAGAAAGCTGCAACTGGGATACAAGGAATGCTCAGAGATAGGGTTGGTACCATAATTTACATGGGTATGTTAAACAATTTTAATGACTTATTTTTCTAAAATATATAATTTAACGCGAAAAATAACTTCACTAAGGGCCATTTGCACCGCTAGTAGTTAAGAAATAAGCGAAGCTTAAAATGACATTATCAATGGAAAAATGTCATTTTAAGCTTGGCTTATTTCTTAACTTCCTACTAGCAGTGCGAATGGCACTAACTCTGTCTTGACCTAAACAGTTCACACAAATTGTTCTTTAATGTTTTTAAATACTGAATGAAACTAATAACCCACTAGCATGCACATTGTTTAGTTTATAAAAATATGTATTGTCGTGAGAGTAATTTTCGACCAGTCCGGTCCTGCTCTAATTCTTTAGGTCCCACTCTGCCTTATTTAGGCCTCTTACAGCCGCCTCCAATGTTTCGATTACCAAGAATATTCGATAAAACAAGTCACATCCGAAACCCTCTTAATACGTCGAAGTTCTAGAATAACGAGAAGCTACTAAAGACATCGATTTTGGTGGATACTCCAGTCTACAAAATGATGGATCCATCGATGTGTATTCCAAGCGGTGCCGCCAATTCTTTCAAAAGATGTTTAGAACACTCTCGAATGGCCACGTTTGCATATAAATAAGACTGAGACTGTTTACCATTTGAGTGGGCTTCATGTTTAGATATCGATTTGAGCAGATTATTATAAATTAGTATACAGGGTGTTTGTATATTCGACCGACAACGCTCTACCCCAGAGAGCTCTCGTTAATTGATGAATTTTAATATAGGAACCCTTATAGGGATTAGTTACCGATATACAGGGTGTTAAAACTTTGAAATCAAAATTTAAAATTTGCCTTTAAATATTAATTTCAAATTTGGTGACCAATATGTTCTTTAATAAAGTATTATTTTGACATAAACTTACTTTTAAAAAAATTTACCAGTGGCGCGCTATCAAGGTTAATTTTTCCTCTTATTTTTTACGCCATTGGGAAAAATATTATTTCTTATTTTTATATTATTATTTTTTAAATTCTCTGTTAATTTTTAGTAAATAAAAAGTGAACTTTTTATGGAGCTAAAATGAACAGTGTCGCAGAAATTTGCTTCTAAACAAAAGTCTACATGTTCTTAATAACTTGTAAGTACTCAATATTTTTAGGTTCTAATCTAGTAAGCACGTGTCAAATTTTTTATAGTTTGAGTTTTTGATAAGATATTGGTGGATCAAATTTGAAAAAAATATTTAAAGACGTTTTAGTTTTATGGTAAATTTTGAATATTGATTTAAAATTTTTAACACCCTGTATCTCGGTAACTAAGACCTTCAGGATATTATGTTCCTATATCAAAATTCATCAATTAACAAGAGCTCTCTGGGGTAGAGCGTTACCGGTCGAATATACAAACACTCTGTATAAGTAAATGTAATAGAAATTACTATATGAGCAATGTAATATAAATTAGTATACAGGGTGGCTACATTTTATATTGAAGAGCTATGTCGAAAACCGTAAGAGTTAAAAAGTCAGAAAAAGTTGTACTATTGCAAGACCAATTTAGTGATGTTTTAAAACCGAGAACATCAGGACCGGTTTCCAAGATATTTAAGGAAAACCAAATGACTCTATTTTCGATTGTATGGCCTTTATTTTACAAATTAGAAAAAATTGTAATTATATTTTTTATTTGGTATCAAGTAGCGCCTAATTTACCGTAGACAGATTTTTTATACAACGTTTCGTTTCTGGAGGGCCACCAGGACCTGTATTTTTCATTCTATTTTAAAAAAGTACTTTTAATCCTAAATTCAACCATGTAATACACATTATACTCTGTTTTTAAACTAAGAGGAGCGATTTGAATTTAAGTTGGCAATTCTGTAGCCTTCTGATTGGTCAGATTACAGTCAGTTTCACACATTACTTTTTAGCATGAACATCAGCTAATAATTGATATTGTTGACAGTTCTGACATTTTATCTCATCCATTACTTAGTTTTTTACTTTATTTCGTAAATAATAGTTCTTCAGTAAGCAATTGTATTGAAAATCTATTAAGTACTATTAAAGGTAGCAATTCCTGAAAAGCCTTACAACAAAGGGAAGACACCTTATTATTTTACATGCTGATTCTGAAGGTTTTGTAGAAAATGCATTATTGGTTTTTGAAGGTAAAAAGATGGGAGATTACCATGAAGAGATGAATTTTTTAAAACTAAAAATTGATGAATTTCTAACCAAAATGATTAAAATGTAACTAAATATTCAAGCAAATTTTATTTATTAGAATAGAATAAAACTATTTACAAAATTGTTATAACATTTAAAACACCATCTACTACTTTAGGGATAATCTTAATTTGGCACAATGAGTTAACATTATTTCCACAAAAAATATTTCAAAAATACTTAAAATTAATACATAGGTATGTATGAATAGTTCACTTTAAAAAATATATGTTGACATGTAGTGTTATGAAAATGTTGGTTCCAGTTTTCAAAACAAATTCTGACTCATAGGCCTGTAAACTTTTGAATGCCTTTATTTGCCCTCTAGCGCATTAACCATGGGCTAACACTAAATAAGCCATAATATCCACATTACTCATAGAAGAGATACCAGTTACTGTGTGATCCACTTGTCATTCACTGATTAACTTTTACTTTTTATACCTATGACAAATATATCCTTAAAAATGTAAACAGATCTTTATATTTTATACTGACCTGGCTACATCTGGATATTCCATCAACAATTTTCTTAAATATTTATTATCCATTTTAAAAAGATCATAGTTATTCTCAAAAAGTCGATTTCAAAAGCAAGAAAAAATTATTTCTGACATCAATCAACAAAAGAGTGCGTTTAGAAACCTCGCACGGCGCGTCTGACTACATACATTAGAATAGGGTCCAGACGCGCCGTGCGTGGTTTCTAAACGCACTCCATTTTTTTTTTTTTTTATAATTTATTGGCCTACATAGCTAAGATGATACAGCCATTTGGTAACAACAGGTAAATAATTACAATATTTTACAGCTTAATTTTAGACATTTGTATAAATTTTGATATTTTTTTAACATTACCGAAAGACAGAAGTTTAAACAATACATCAAAAAGTGTAACAGGTTTTATAAAATTTTTTGGAATATCTAAACTATCTAAAAATGTATAAATATTATAAAAATTATTTTGACAATTAAAAAAAATATGTTGTAAATCCTCCAGTTTTCCACACGTACACCTATCATTTTCTTTTACACCTATTTTCTTTAGATGCACCATACTTAAACAATGACCGCTTCTTAATCTGCATACGGTACTTATATCCCTTCTATTCAAATTTTTTATTTTTGCAAACCACGGTCTCTTTAATGGAATTTGAATTACTTCTCCATATAGTTTCCCTATTGACTTTAATTTGACAGTGACATTTCGTTTTAGACACACATTTCAGATCACAATTAGGCATTCCAACGACCTGTCCAAATGGCTACCAGTGGGTAATGACAGTTTAGATATGGCAACCCTGTTGTCATGTTGTCATTAACAGGGTCAATGATACATATGTAGTTATATAGATTGCTCAAAGCTGGTCGTTTACGAGCGGCCATATTGCCTAGCAAATATTTATTAATTTGAATCGGTTTGGAAAAAATGTGTTTTAAAACTAATTTTTAGCCTTTAGACATTAAAATAAAAATAATTGCTTACATTTTTACTTCAAGGCATAAGCTTATGTTTATTTTGAAAAATATGGATGATCAATCTATGTAACTATTTATTTCATTGACCTTGTCAAATCACCAGGCCTACAGGGTTGCCATAATTTTGCTATATCATAACCCGTCAAAACCCACTGGTAGCCATTCAGTTTGGAATGCCTAATTAGGCATTCCAAACAAATGAATTTCCAGTGGGCAGGTTTGGTAGATCTGACGGTTGCGACATACGATGTATTCTATCTAAAATACGTAAAATCATGAATAATGGATTACATTTAAATATTTTATATCGAACACTATAAAAATATTAATTAAAAAAACTCCTTGTACATTTCTTTAAAAACTGGCAAGATTGGCGACTGATATTTCGAATAAAAATAGCGTCCAAGATGCAAGACTATGTCGCTACCCCCCTTAGATATACGAGACCTTCCCACTGGCAGGTATTGTTTGACAGGTCGTTGGAATGCCTAATAATGTGACATTTGCGACCGTTGTCTGGGACCAATTAAAAAATTACTTCTATGACATTTATTCGTTTTTTAATCGCTCATTGGCCGTTCACCGACTAAGGCCGATAAAGATAATTATTTCATAAATTTTGAACACGACTATATTTCGAAACTCGCTCTTAGTAACAAATCTAGCTACTTTTTCCTGTGTAAATGCGTCTTTTCAATTCGCTCCTCCTAGTTTAAAAACAGAGTATAGTAGTTTAGGATGTTTTGATACTTTTTATTATTGATATTGTAAAGCCACTATAAATTTTATGTTTTAATTTAGACCAGTATTTTCTATTATGCTTTTTTACTTAGACTACACTCCTAAAATTATTTTTAAATTAATCGCAGTTTCGTTACATCTGCTTCCCTTACCATAAATTTAATAGGAATCGTACCTGAGCCATACCTGTTGTGTTAAAGACGGATGGCGGTTCATGAAGAGTATTTTTTCTATTTATCAATCCAGAATTTATCAATGTAGTTTCATCTTTCCATAGAGGATGTAGGTATTATTAATCTAGAGTGATCTATTGTTATGACATATGTGGTAATATATTCAGTGTATGATGGACAACATTTTTTTTGGATAAATTTTTTTAACAAATTTTTTTTGACATTTTTTTTGACAATTTTTTTGACAAAATTTTTTTTGACAATTTTTTTTTTATATAATGTTTATTGACATTTTTTTTGACAATTTTTTTGACAAATTTTTTTTTGACCATTTTTTTTGACTTTTTTTACAAAATGTTTGACAATATTTTTTGATTATTTTTTTTGACAAATTATTTTTGACAAATTATTTTTCATAATTTTTTTTTTACTATTTTTTTTTGACAAAATTTTTTTTTGTCAATTTTTTTGACCATTTTTTTGACAAAATTTTTTTGACAATTTTTTTTTTACAAAATGTTTATTGACTTTTTTGACAAATTATTTTTGACAATTTTTTTTGACAAATTTTTTTTTGACAAATTTTTTTTGACAATTTTTTTTACAAAATGTCTATTGAAAATATTTTTTTTTATTATTTTTTTTGACAAATTATTCTTCACAATTTTTTTTGACTATTTTTTGACAATTTTTTTTTGATAATTTTTTTGACACATACTAATGTTAATAGTATATCTGTAGGTATAAGTATGACATGCGCTTGGCAAGCAGTGGAAGTATAAGTGAATGGACAATGGTTTTTTGGACAATTTTTTTTTTTACAAATTTTTCTTTGACATGCTAATGTTAATAGTATATCTATAGCAGTGGAAGAATAAGTGAACGGACATTTTTGTAGACCAATTTTTTTTTTGATAAAAATTTTTTTGGACATTTTCTTTACAAATTTTTTTTTGACAAAATTTATTTGGCAATTTTTTTTGACAAAATTTTTTTTGACACATGCTAATGTTAATAGTATATCTATAGCAGTGGAAGAATGAGTGAACGGACATTTTTTTTTGACAATTTTTTTTTTACAAATTTTTCTTTGACATGCTAATGTTAATAGTATATCTATAGCAGTGGAGGAATAAGTGAACGGACATTTTTGTAGACCAATTTTTTTTTGATAAAAATTTTTTTGGACATTTTCTTTACAAATTTTTTTTTTGACAAAATTTATTTGGCAATTTTTTTTTGACAAAATTTTTTTTGACACATGCTAATGTTAATAGTATATCTATAGCAGTGGAAGAATGAGTGAACGGACATTTTTTTTGGACAATTTTTTTTTTTCATAAAATTTTTTTTACAAAAATTTTTCTTTTCAAATTATTTTTGACAATTTTTTTGACACGTGCTAATGTTAGTATATCTATAGCTATAAGTATGACATGCGCTTGGCGAGCAGTACGTATGAGTGAACGGACAAATGAAAATTTAAATCCAGAATTTTGTATCTTTTCCAAGAGTCGTTTCACTTATCCGAGGGCACACTGTATAAGAAAAATGTAATCTGTAAATATATGTATAAAAGTGGTTCCTGCGAGTGTATTAGGTTGCGCGGCGATCTGAAGTTCGGAATCCTATCATATGAGCATTGGAATTTATTTCACAATACATGCTTAGAAAAATATTTCTACCCTTTATTGACTCCAGAATATGTAATCTAATTTCCTATAGGAAAAAAAGTTGAGAATCGACAGTCCAGGATTTATTTCGAATATCATAATAGATTTTGTACTTATCAGATATACTATTGTATTTATTTGAATAGTTTGTTTGTCTATGTTTATTTTTACTAAGATATTTATTTTATAAATCAGTTTATATATGTGTATTAAATAAAACACCAATTTATGTCTTTTACTGATACACTGACAACATGTATTTCAGTAGAACAATATAACTAGAACTGAACTCAAACGGCTAAACTTAGTCTATTTAAATACATATTATGTGGCGTTCTCGAATGGCCGTAAAAGACCCAAATAAGTCAGAGAGAAACTTAAAGGATTAGAGCAGGATCGGACTGGTCGAAAATGGCTCGCATAACACTATATTTTATAGAGAAAGTAAAAGTTGAAAAGTCTTTTGGTAGGTAGAGAGGGGGTAAACGTCAAACCACGTCGAGCGGCTCCGAGAATTTCACAGTAATGTTAACCTGCCAGTGTCGTTTCATAGAATAAGTAATTTTAAATTGTTATCGGCGGAACCGGACAATCGCATGTATTTATGGACTATAAATAATTATTAAACATGTATTATAATATTCAAATTATAATTTTATAAATTTCAACAGCTATTCACAATTTATTAAACTATTTACTCGAAATTGTTATTAACATCTATAAAATAATTTTGTACGCCAATGCATCGCGTCCACTTCGGTGAGATCCGCTGCCAACCTGTCAATTTATGTGTATAAAGTGGGAGAACTGGCAAAAGTATTTCCAACTTTTACTTCTGTTCTATACATTACTATAGATAATATTTTTTAGCACCAGAGATTCTCTTGGATCACACCTACAGCGAGCTGTGCGACGTTTGGTCAATAGGTGTCATTCTCTTCACCATGATGTATGGAAAATTCCCGTTCATGAGCACATCTCAAAAGGAACTCGCCGGCAAAATAATATCTTTCGAACCAGAATTTTCCACGAAAATGATAGACCTCGATTGCGTCGATTTGATGAAATCGACGTTGGTTAAAGATCCCGTCAAAAGGATAACGGCCCAGGAAATGTTGAAGCATCCTTGGTTGTTCGACAATAAAATTAAAGTGAAAACCAAAAATCAGACCGTTATCGATTATATGAAACAGTGGAAGACCGAGATGATGGTGAGGCTGGTTTTGTAAATTATATTACCAAAATAATATGTTTCACACTGAGATACCAAAATATAGACACTCGAATTTAGGACACATTATACAGTGTGTGCCATAAAGTTGGATCAATATTACGATTGGAAAAAACGTCGTAGGGTAATCACCTGTACTTATTTAAAAACTTAAAAGTTGGCTACTGACATGTTTTCACTAGTAATACCACTAGAGGTCAAAAAATTTCCTGATATTAATTTGACCTCGCGTGGTATTCGGTAAGAAAATTCCACACCGAATTATGGTTGAAAATTAAATATTTTTAAAATTTATTTTTCGTTTCTCAACAATGCAAATTATTTTCTCCAAGTCACCAGTGAAACATAAAAGGTGTTGTCGCCTTGATTGTTGAGTTGTCATGGTAACTAAGTGAGACCCTAACCTCGAATATAATTTCAGTTTTGAAGTTGTCAAGCGGCCCGACGTAAAAAAATGTTTCGCTGCAATTATTTAGGCCTTCAAATTGCTTATTTCTACTCATTGTAGTTGCATGGGAATACCATTTGAAAATAGAAAATAGTATATTCTTTAATTTTACGTAAGTTTTGAATAACTACAAGTGGTAGAAAATTGTTTTTCTGCGTTTTTATTAACATGCGTTATGAGCGCTTTAAAATGGTATGAAATTCATAACCAGCGTCAGCAAGCATCAATCGTAGGAGGCTGTGATCATTGTATTTTGACAGTTCAAAACATTAAATAACTCGCGTTTTGTTGCGATAAAGAATATTGCACAGCAAGTAAAACCAACAAAATTACCTATTTGTTTAAAAACGAATCGATTTGAAAATCATACGCTATGCAAAATATGCGTGAAATTGTCTGATGTAATGATCAATCATTGCACCATGACTTACTTACTCGGATTAATAGAGGATTGTGGCTCCAACTTGAAAAACGAAAATTTGTTCCGAATTGTCCACGAATATTTGCACCTAAACTACGCAAAATTCCAAGTGCTGAATGGGAAAAAGGTGAATAAATTAGTGTCTAAATATTATATATATTTTATTAGACATAGACACATAATTCAAAGCATCCACAGTCCTGCATTTTCGCCATTAAGAAGAAAAGAAGTGGCCGAAGAATATAGAAAACACCTTAGCATTGTAACTAAAATGTATCAAAACTAAACCTATTATGTGAACAAATAAAAACCAGTCTGTCAAAAATGGTCTGTTATTGTAAACGTCAAAAAATTTCCAGTATAATTCGCTGTTGGGTACCCCACGAGAAAAAAATTTCCACTAAAATATCTCCGTTGCCATGGTGATCTGTCAAAAACACGTATTTTGATTGGTTCAAAATTACAGGTGTGGAATTTTCTGTTAAATTCGTACTTAAAAATTTTCATTTAAAGATTTTTCAAAAAGCAGACGTTTTTTTCGAAAAGTAATATTAAAAAAATCTCATATAGATCCAACTTCATGAAATACACTGTATATAGGACTTATCCAATTCATGGTTGTACTAATAAACAATACAGCATAATTGGATGTTATTCTAGAAGAATGTACATATGTTGTGATTCTTTTAATCCGTCATAACTTATTGAAAATACTATGTATTTAATTCTAATTTTACGTGGTCTTCTAGTTTGACAAAAGTTATACAGTCGTGAAAGCTCACAGTTCAGTAGTATGTCAAGGTTTGGATGGGTGACCGACCGCGTAGAGCTCGGGGTTCTTCTACATGGTGGAATGTACGAGTTGAATGAATGTGATAGAATAAGACATCCAAATGGCAGTACAATAAGCCAATCAGGTTGAAGTTACGCTATGCGAGTCCTAGAGGAGTGAAGGCAGGCTGGAACCCAAGCATGATAGAGGAGCCTGCCGGTATTTCTCAGAGGGGGAGCAAAGTGATGCCAGAAAGCGTTAAACAAAAACTAATTAGTCACTCTAAAAATACTACTATAACTCTCAAGATTTTGTAGTTCTTAATATACAGGGTGATAAAACATTATAGCCTTTTGTTCATTAATATTTTCCTTTAAAGATTCCTAGTTACTTTTAGCAAATATAAATGACATTTCCTCTCAAATGTGTCTAATACATTCGTGTTTTATTCAATTTTAGTTGCCGGGAGAGGAATCAGATTGGGTGTCAGCTTATACAACTGATCGAACATCCCAATACAGTAATTATAGTACAGCAAAGTCGTAAGAATATTTTATACTATTTAATAACATCTGAGGTGTCCAACACAGACTTTCCGGTAAATAATGTGTCAAGCAGAAATGCATTTAAACAAAAATTTAAATATAATTTATTATACAGGGTGTTTCAAAAAGGTATGTCATAAATGCATCTTCAGGTAGATTACTAAAAAATAAGTGGATTTGGCTATATTTACCTATATCAAAAACTGGCTCCCAACAAAGTTACAGGGTGTTAAACTAACATTCAGAAAAACGTTTTTTTTTTGTAAAAAGTTTGCTGTTGTGATTTTTTCTTCGAAATTTTTGCCAGTGCTGTAGATTTTAAGGCCCAATATTCTAAGTAGAAAAAAAAATTAAAGCGACCCCTTTAAAAAAACTTGCTTTATCGATCCTAAAATCAAAAAGAACTATGAATTTTTAATTTTTTTATAGCGAAATGAACTTTGTATCTTTCTTAGTTAACGAGCTATTTACAATTATTTTAACTAAATTTCTAGAGCCATTCGTCCGTCCTGGACTTAGCATATCAACAAAACTAAGAGTAGGTCAGGAGTAATTGTACAAAAAAACGCATATAAAAATCAGTGGTGTGTCTAGGGCTGTGCTTGAGCCGCCCCTGCAAAAACTACCTCTTTTATTTATATTTTTGTAAAAAAGGTATTTATAATATTGGATTGGCGCCATAAAAATGGTGTGCCACCGATCCTCATGGATTCACCATGCCACTGATAAAAATACACGTTAGTTGGGAAATGTATTTATTAAATTTAATTGTAAGTAAAAAAAATATTTTTTTAATTAAACAACAAAAAATTAACAATTAAAAATAAACATTTGGTAATAATTATTATAGATATTTTATAAACTATTTAATTTAGTAAATATTCAACATGTCCTCGTCCTTCTTGAATACAAAAAAGTAAAAGAGGTAGTTTTTTACAAAGTTCATTTCACATTTCACAAAAATGCATAGTTCTTTTTGATTTTAAGATCGATAAAGCAAGTTTCTTTATGTCAAAAAAATACGGGGGGGTTAAAAGGTACTCAACCTCACAACTTTTTTTAAAGGGGTCGCTTTAATTTTTTTTTCTCCTTAGAATATTGGACCTTCAAATCTACAGCACTGGCAAAAATTTCGAAGGAAAGATCAGAACAGCAAACTTTTTACAAAAAAAAAACGTTTTTCTGAATGTTAGTTTAACACCCTGTAACTTTGTTAGGGGCCAGTTTTTGATATAGGTAAATATAGCCAAATCGACTTATTTTTTGGTAATCTATCTGAGGATGAATTTATGACATACCTTTTTTAAACACCCTGTATATTAACAATTTTTGACATTTATTACTAAAAATAACAAAAAAAATATAAACAATTAACAAATATAAACATAACAACTATAAAAACATAAATATATATAAAAAAACCTTCTATTTGATGAAAAAAATACGGGTTTTTTTTTAACAACAAGAACACAGCAATTTTGTAGGAAATAAAATTCTCTACAAAAAAGATCTCGTTTGATTTTTTGATAAAGTTCATATTTACAGATATATTCTCAATAATAAACTCATTGAATCCATAAAATCAAAATTTTCAGATTTTTTTCTCAAATCCATCTACTTTAAGAGCTATTTTAAAAAACTACGAATTTATGAAAAAATAAACTTCAATCGGCTTGAGGCAGGTGTTCTTGTTAAAAAAAAAAATCTCCCCTAATTTTCCATCAAAAGGAAGGTTTTTAAGGCGTCGGAAAAAATTTAATTTTTAACTACCACTCTACAATATATAAATAAAAAATATTTACATTAAAATATTTTAATTTATTTTAAAACAGTGTCTAGGTACACGCTAACTTATACACAATTCAAAAAGTTATATACACGCGAAACGTCTTGACAGAGTAAGTGAGCTGTGTGCAGGCCGTTGGGTGTTAATGCCGGTCGGCGTAGCTAGGTATGGATTGAAATTTTCTGGTGGCGGCGAAGCTGCCACCCTATGAGAAGTCTTTGCTTCGTTTTCTTGTTGTCACGGCATTGAAATTTGCTTTTAAGGTTTATAAAATACTACTGCTAGTCATGGCGTAAATGAGAACAAGACGCATTCACACAAACACCTCCCACCGCAGCAATATGACGTTTCGCGTGTATATAATTTTTTGATTTGTGTACACTTTAGCGTGTACCTAGCAACAGCGTTTTTTAAAAGAGGGAAGGTGCTTTCAATCGTCTATTATGCAAGCATATGAATACTTTAACTGAATTTAGATAAAGGAAATAAATATTGAGCCCCATATTTATCCATACCAGTAGAACTTACAGAGTGATGAATTTCTTCCGTTTAGAAATAAATCAGAAATTGAACATTTTTATCAGTGCTGTTTTTATACTTGTATTTTAGAATGTTTTGTTGTAATTACCAGTGGTCTAGCTGATTGATATACGAAGATACCCTAAAACCAAGCTGTTATTCAGAAATTATGTTTTTAAAGAAGAAAAATTATATTTGTTTTTAGAAATTTCAGATTAAGGTGTAATAACTAAAATCTATCTACAGTTTGCTGGCATATGGCTTTTACTAAAATAGCTACTGTTCGTTAAAAATGCCATAAAAACATACTGATTTTTTTAAAGATTGCTGCTTTATTTAGAATTGTATAATTAAATTTGTTTTATATTGTTCATATTTTCTACTTATGCAAAGAAATTATTATTAAACTCTTCTGTGCAAAATTTTGATTTTCTCAATATTTTCGTTGACAAAGAAAATATTTATGAAAACATGTTTCGAGTAAAATATGCGAGGAAAATGTTTATGTTTAATTCATATTCTGAACACTCAATATACTCGATATATTTGAGAACTACTGGATATTCATATGTGTTGGACACGTCAGATATGTTAGGAACATAGGTTCTCCTTTTGACAAAGGACAATCAGTTTCCAGAAGCGTTGAAAGGGGAAAAACTTAAATATTTTTATAATTTCAGAACAGGCGACAAAAGTGCTTATAGCGCGACTAGCTGAATTATTATAATTAAACGATCAGGTAAGAAAAATAAAATTTTTATTGATAAAACAATATATTAAAAAGATTAAAGGTATGATTTAACTTTATACTTACCTTGAAAATAGCTTAGTAGATTTCAACTGTTTCATTTAAAAAGTTCAAATTAACTTTTTTGGGGATGCCATCCCCTCCAAGTTCCTCTAGGGGAAGGTGGGGATAAGATTTTAATAAACATTGTAAATAAGGTATATTATAAATTTACCAAAAATGAGATGATTATCTCATCTGTAATTATTTTGAAATGCCAGCCCCCACATACAAACTATGACGGTTGAGGTCCAAACAAATTTTTGGAAAAATATCAAACTAATTTATAATTTTATATATAAATAAATATTGTTCCTTGGTTTATTCGGTCATTTTTATTTTCTATTGTTTATCACAGCACTACGTATGTTTCGAAAAACTTTTTCATCTTCGAGTGCTGTGCTAAACAATAGAAAATAAAAACGACCGAATAAACCAAAGAAATTTTTATTTATATAAAATTCTGCTACGGTCAAGAAATTATTCTTATTCAAATAATTTATAATTGTTTTGTATGTAGAAAAAATCCTAGATTCCAACTGTTTTTTTGAAAAATATTGTAACTTTCTTTTTTGAAGGTGATACCCTCTGTATATCAGCTAGGGGGCGAGTAGGGGGGCAAAATTGTTTATGCTATTTTTATATTTACGGGATAATACAAGTTTGGTTTCGATTTCTCGATCCGAACTACCCTATTCCTAAGAGCCGAAACCCAACCAAAATATGACCTAAAGAAAAAAGTGCCAATATAATATATACCACGCTCCCCTAATTTATTTTTGTCAAACTTTCAAATGTTCCTTTTTTATGGTTTTAGGTCTATTTTATTTTACTGCTTACTTTTAGTTTTTATTAAACTTGAATTCGTTCATATTATTTTTTAAGAAAATCACTTTTCTTCTCTGTCTGTATCTGTAGCGTGTGGAAGGTGGGTTACCCCCACGACACATAGGCCTCATTAGGTCCATTGTGCATCCTCCTAAGATGATAGGCACCTCCTAGCTCGTGAGCCAGCCTACAGATTTAATGTAGTTGACAACGTCGCCAAGAGGTGCTTCTCTTATATCGGCCGGTGTTAGCCGATACTCGCCGAACACAAATCTTCTAATAAATGAGAGCGTCGAGCAATCGTAAAGGAAATGCGATTGCTCGACGCTCTCATTTATTAGAAGATTTGTATTCGGCGAGTATCGGCTAAAACCGGCCGATAGCCTTTTCTTTTATTACAAAAAAATATCTTGCGCCGAGGCCCCCTGCGTCAAGCTACGCTACTGAAGATAAGGGCATAAAAATGCTATAAATATCTTTAAAATTACGTAAATCACTCTACTCCAAATTTTGTACTATCAAAAAATTTGTTTTTGTCGTATGTCGACCGGGAATAGGGTTGTTTTTTTTATAGGAATATATTATACATACGCGAGGTATCTCTCAGAAGTAATAAGAAATGAGAAAAACATTCACCAGTACTGGAACTCCCTCTTCTTCATTTCTGTCCAGACATGGCTTATGGTTTTTGCAACCCTTAAGCGAAAATTTAAAGGTTCCCATTAAGGAACAGTAAACAGCACCCAAAGAGTCACGTCACAGGTTCCTAAATGGCCTAACGGAACAAGACCTCTAGAATTACCAGGAGAGGAAAAATCGCTGGACACGCTTTGTGTATTTGAACGGGACAATTTTATTTTGTAGATACATTTCAATAAACCACTGTAAAAATAATTATTCTCATTACTTCTGAGACATACCTCGTATATTACTTTTACAAATACATTTATATCTGCAAGAATTCTTAAAAAATACTTGAATACAAATTCAAACCAAAGCCCACAAAAATAATAATATATCTATTTTTATTTTCAGATAAAATTCAGTTATGTTTATATCAAGCAAATGGGGTGGTTTTTCGAAGAATCAGTTCATATCTTTTTTTTAAGTACATCGTATCTTTAAATGATTTTTTTGAATGAGAATAAAGCAGTGAAATTTAATTGTTTCTTCTATTTGTTTAAATTTTGGATTAAAATCAACTTCTGAAATAAAAAAAAAAATGGGGAAATTCCACATATAGTCTGATTTATGGAAGATGACCATGTCGACGTAAATATGTAGTTTGTTTATAATGACGAAAAAGTATCAGTAGCGTGCGGTGACATTTTTGGAAGGGGAAGCGATTGTATAATAATACAGCAGGCCAGTAAGCACAGCGCCGCAGGTGAAAATTTTTAGCGGCCCATTCACCATTTTGTCAAATTCTTGCTTTTTTCCTCAGTACTACGGATATTCGAGATTGAGATTTTTGAAGTGTTACTATTACTTAATTACCTAGTTTAGTACTAGAAGCTATAAAAAAACTTACCAATGAAAAGCTTCCTTGGTTTATTTAAACGTAAAAAAAAATTAACTGAAGTTTTTTTATTTTTCCAGCATTTTTCGCACAGTTGACACAGCAGTTGTCATTTATTTATACTTAAGATCTATTCGCCTATCCTAAATGGCTGCAAATTTGTCTATAACATCGTCGTAAAATTTTGAATTTTCTAATAACTGTTTAACAAGCTGTTTTTTAATGGATATTAGGGCTGAATTTTGTGTAAAACTTTTAATGGGCTTTAAAGCTGAAAAACTTCGCTCAACTGACGCACTTGTGGCTGGGATGGTTAGTACTAATTCACACAACTTGACGACTTCACAAAGGGACTTATTTAAACCAGTTGTTACAAGAAAAATTAACACATTGATGGGCGTCTTTTTATCACTAATTTCAGTTGTTTCGTAAACAACACTTAACTGTGACTTTAATGCTGGAATATCGAAAAAATGTCCATAATTTAATTTTAGTGAATTAAAAGCTTCGATGGAAATTTTGATGGTAGTTACTAATATTAAAATTGCACAATTCAACAAATTTTAATTCGTTTAAGTTTTGAAATCGAGAGTTCATTTGTTGTAAAATATCAAAAATTTCGGCGTATAATCGACGACGCCAACATTATCAATTCTAATTCTCTTTCTTTCAGGTTCTAAGCCAATGTTTTGAGTCTTATTCTAAAAGTGTTCAAACTGATCTCGTTTTTTATTCATTTTATTTTTAAAATCATCAATTTGTTTAATGCAAAAGCCAATATCATTTGACTTTGTATGTAAAATGTCGAATAAAATGTCAGTAAAAGGGAAAATCTTTGTAAAAATGTTGAGCAAAAAATTGAAATCAAAGATTTGTTTGAGCAAAGGCAAATACCCTTTAGCAGCAGTAACAGTTTCAGCATCCCATGTTTCTTTATTATCCCAAACGTCTTGAAAAAAGTGTATCAAAGAATCACGGTATTGAAACACTGTTTGCACTAAACGTCCATTGTAGTTCCATCGCGTCCGATCAACTTTTGGAAACCTTTTTTGAACGTAAATGTCCTAAGCCCGAGTTCTTTTCGATGACTTTGAAAAGAAGGAAGCCAAACCACTAAGCGTCGAAAAGATTAAGTCTATGTGCTATACAGTGAACGAAAATTGCATGTTTAAACTTCTCTTTCACTTTAGCTTGAAGGCCTCCTAAATGGGCAGCCATTACCGCAGCACCATCGTAGTTCTGGGCAACAAGCTTAGAACCACATTCTAAACTTGAAATAATGTCACAAACAATTTTAAACAATGCATCTGCAGCTCGTTCGCTAGTGACGTCCAAAAATCCTAAGAATCACTCTTGAGGAATGCCATCCAATACATATCGCACAACAATGGATAATTGACTTAAGTTTGCTAAATCTGTGATTTCATCAAGCGCAATTGATACGAAAGGTGATTTTTTAATTTCAATTTAAAGGGATCCATCACAACGTCGGCAGTGCATTTAATTAAATTATTTTGGATTCTGTTTGAGGTACCTCGGAAAGTCGACGAAACAATAAAATGATTTTTAGGATAATCATATTTTGCTAAAAAAAACTTAGAAGGTCCATATGTAATCTCCTCGATTGGCGGATCTTCTTGCTTCATTGTGACCCCTAAAACTTCATGCTCTCCCAGGAAACAAGTTGCATATATTAATCGTTGTAAGACGTCCCTATTTTTTTTACCCTTTCATTGTGAATTTTGTTGCTTATTTTTAAATGATTGTCCAAACTATGTTCAATGCGATAGGTCCCGAATGTTTTTTCTTTAATTGTAGCATTTATATGAGATTTGCTATTTACATGTCGTTTTACACTTTTGTGGAAATTATTCAAGTCTGTAATACCGATTGAGTTTTAATGTTTTTTCGGCTATATTAAAAAGTAGGCAAGGCCAGCAAAACAATTTCTTCAAAGTTTTGCAGCCGGTTAACCATTCATACTTTTTATAGAACCCTACGTGAAAATGCTTGGTAAATTTCTTTGATGACTTTTCTACTTTCGTCTCTAAATTGATAGGATCCTTTAGTCTACTCTAATTAAAAATGTCCGTTTTCTCTTCAAAATTTCTACTTGAAAATCCTTTTTTCAATAAAGAGCACACAATACAGACACAATTTACCACATTATTATTGTTCACAGGCACAGTGCATAGTTCCTCCATTTTACAAAAAGAAGAACAACTAAGAAAAACAAACCGAAATATATTTGAAGTCTACGATTTTCCTCACACGTCGATTCGCGGTGAGAATTGCAATATGCGTAAGGCGACGTAAAAATCGCTGCCTCTACCGTATTTCACGCGCCCAAACAGACCGACTACTGTGTCGCGGCAAAGCAGGGTCAATAACATGAAGCGCAATCAATTGGAAGATGAGCCGGCTTTTTTAAGAGGCGCTTCCGCCGACGGACTTGAAGTATCTATATGGTGTGGGCGTCTACACAATTAATTTTCTCATGGGTGGTGCGTGTGTTTACACATTACACCAATTAATTGTTAGTACATTTACGAAGTTTACGTAATGTTTCAGAGAAAATATAGTACCTAATTTAATTTTAATTTCTATGCATTGTAAACTGAAAAATATTTATTTTTAAATCTCAAAGTGTAGGGAAGCGGTGCTTCCCCCGCTTCCATGGACCGCACGCCCCTGAAAAGTATCATATTCATATATTCAATTTGTACATCTGGAAAGCGTTCCTCAAATTGTTGAATGAATATCAGTATTTTGAGTTCCAATTCGAAAATGGGCCAGTACGATAACAGAATCTTGTTCAGAGTAAACATTTTACTTTCCTATCTGTATACAGATAAGGAATCATGATTTTTTTCGACCTCGAGTTTTCGACGGATTTTTACGTTTTGGGGGCCCCTGAATCCGTTTTGACTATTTTCGCGATAATATCTGTATCCACGATAACTCATGAACGAATACAAAGAAAAACACCAAATTTTAAACTTAGCTTTATTCCGGCCTGCGGTGAACTGATTAAATTTTGGGCAGAGTCGCAACATCTAGGAGGTACTTTAAGGGGGTTATTTTTGTATTTTATAAAATGTTATTTACGTTTGGAGAAGAAAATTCTTCAAATAAATGTTACTTCTTATATTATCCTCTGTAATTTTTGTTACATACAAAATTTTCCTATTCGAAAAATTTGACAAATAGTAAAAAAAATCAATTTTTATAAAAATTGTTTAAATAAAAGTTGTTTGTGATATAATTCTCTATAATTTTTGTCCCATGCATAATTTCTCTAAAATGGACCATATTCCAGATATTTGAGAAAGTGTAAATTTAGAATTTTAAAGAAAACAAAAACGGATAGAGAACACATTAAATTTTAAACTTAAGCTTTATCAAGGCCTGAGGTGAACTTTTTGGCAGAGTTGGAACATCTGGGGGGGTACTTTATAGAGGTAAGTTTTTATATTTTATGGAATATATTAGTTATTTTTATTTGGAGAAGAAAATTGTTTGTATAAAAGTTACTTTTTATATTATTCTTTATAATTTTTGTTCTATAAAAAATTTTCCTAAAATGGTCTGTATTCGAAAAATTTTACAAAATGTAAAATTTCTGATTTTTAAGAAAATTGTTGATCTTAAAGATGTGTGCAATATCGATCTCTATACTTTTTGTTTTACACGACTTCTCTAAAATGGACCGTAATGGAAAAATTTGAGGAAAAATGTGTTTTAAATGTTAGATGTATGTGGAAAATGTATATATTTGGGTAATTCTCAAAAAAGGTACATTTTGTAGTTACAAGTGGATAACTTAATTATTTCACAAAATTATGTAATTTTTTATAGTAGAATATAATATTTCAAATGATGTTTAACAAATAAATAGATCTTTTCTCGTTTTTTAAAGATATCTTAGCTTTTAATTTATACTTAAAGGCAAAATGTCACCTCCATGAGCTGTAACATCATTGAATTATCTATCTTCAGTATACGGTTTTAGTTTTTTCACATGAATTTTAAAACTAATTTTATATGCATTTTGCTAAAATAAAGTCTAAGTAAGCTATATTTACGAAATATTATTTTTTAATTACATTATAATATATGGCAAATTCAATTATCCTTGTAACGTATGTCGCTGTCACCTCCGTGCAGAAATCAAAGTGTTAAAAATGTCCTTTAGATGTCACTATCTAATTAACGCACAATTCCTAAACTAAACCGAGTTGCACGCTGCACCGCCAATAATTATCCTTTCTCCATGACCGCCAGCAACCGCCAGTTTGATTTATGTCCTTCGAGAGGTCTGTTGGCGAGTCAAAATCGACAAATATTTAAAACAAAGGCTGATATACCAGCCCTGTTTAAAACTAAAAAAGTGCAGTGCATGTTTTGTCCCCTCCGTACAACATATTTAAAGGTATGTATATTTAGTAAAAATTATAATTTATAAACAATTACTATTCTTATAATTCGCCAATTCATTATTCTGATTTTAATACATTACCTAGTAATCATTCATATAAAAATTCTTAATTATCAAGAAAAGTCACCTCCGTTCAATTAAATACGAACGGAGGTGACGGTTAGCGAATGGAGGTGACTTTAATGAATAGAAATAATAA